GCCGTCCACTTCCCGAGGGAAATGGAGTTCTCCAGCTGCAGACAAACATCCTCCACGAGAATCGCGATGACCGACAAGCACAAGCACTCCCTGTGGAACCCAATCGGGAACGTCGTCGAGCACTCGAACAACGAGAACGAAGGGCACAGCGTCTTCGGGAGGAACAAAGCGCTGCACGAAGGCATTTTGCCGAGGCTCGAGCTGAACGAGCAGCAACACGCGCAGGACGATACTGAGTTTGATGAATTTGCGGTACAGGCCGGAGGACAAAGATCAGATGTTCAAGGGCTTGCACCGGAGGGATCACGGATGGACGTTTTGTTCTAGCATATTACTGCTACGTGAGTATGTCCCAGTGCCGTTCGCTTCCGCGTGCGAAGGAGCCGTGCGCGTTGGAGACTGTCCCTCTTTCTTAGCGTTCGAGTGTACATATTCCGAAGAGCATCATGTCTCACAGTATGCATGCGTCCGCACATAATTTCGCGTTGTCTTGCTATTGATTGACGGTGTCTGACGTGGCCAATTTGAGACAGTCACTGGAATGATTCACCCAGTGTGTGTGTGTGTGTTTCAGCACTGTTTGTACGAACATGAATTGCGTCTACTATAAGAGCTATTGACCACTTCTCCCAGATCCCACCATTCAACTACCACCAAAACACATCCACACCACCTGAAGCAAAGTCATCATCAGAATGGGCTTCTTCAAACCCACCCTCAACTCAAAACACGACCACCTATCGCTGATAGTCCTTGGCGCCGGCGCCTTTGCTCTCGGCCTTACCATCTGTCGACTATGGATGAACCGACCTGACTTTGAACAACACAAAGCGCCATCCAACTCTGAAAATCCTCCACACGAAGACGAGCATGACAATGACCACGAGGACGACCACGAACGCCTGAGACTTTCCAGCGCCCCTCTGACTCCTATCCGTGGCCGCGAATACAGTCTCCTCGACGACTTTCCATTGCCACCATCATCATCAACGATTGACGAGCTCGCAAAGCCTGCTTCTTTGAATGGACATTCTTCTCACCTTCTCCAGCAGGAAGAACAACAACAGGAATACCAACAACAAACCCCTTCATCAACCTCCCAATCGACAATCCCATCCCCTACTTCCCCTTTTACTCCCCCTTCTCATTCTCCCAGTTCCTCGGCAGAAGAAGAACAACAAAAACAAGAACAAAATCAAAATCAAAATCAAAATCCACAACAAACCCAACAAGAAAAATTCAACTGGACCAATTTTTCCCAAAACGAAAATCTTCTCCCGACTCCTCCTCCCCCCTTTTCTTCTTCTTCTTCTTCTTCTTCCTCTCCTCACTTTTCTCCCTCTCCCTCTTCCCCCTCTTCTTCTTCTTCTTCTTCTTCTCCCCCCTCTCCAAAAAGAAAACAAACCCATCAAACCCATCAAAACCCCTCCTCCTCCCCAAACTTCTTCTCAGGAACTTCCGCCTGGCCGCGAGAATTACCACGAAGGATGATAGTTCCTCCTGAACTCACCACAACCACAGCCACCAATGAGCAGCCGTTTATTTTTCGGGGGATGGCTTCTTCGTTGTCATCATTGTTGCAAGAGGAAAAGGAGGGGAGTTGTGGAGGTAGTGGTGGAGAGAAGGATTAAGAAGGGCTTAAATGTGTCTGTATCCCCGGGTGTAGCTTGAGGGGCGGCTTGGGGTTAGGGTAGTAGTTGTAGTTAAATTTTGGGATTTTTTTGGTTTAAAGGGGAAAGGAGAAAGAGAAAGAGAAAGAAAAGAAAAGAATGGAATAGAGATTTCCGAAGGCATGGGGGATGAGCATGGATACCTATAGAGTTTTTTGTTAAGAGAAAAAAAAACCCCCCCAAGTGCTCTCCTGTTGACATGTATTGTCGTTGAGTTCATGCCATCACGCGCGGGGATCTAATCACAAAGGTAGCTATGCCACCAAACAGGCCGTCCAATCCACGCCTGTAGTCTTGTGAAGCGTGAACCATAAGAGGCATGTGACTGAGCCAGAGAAGCGTACCGATCGAAGCACTGATTGCATTACTGATTGCATTACTGATTGCATTATTTATTTGTTCCGTTACATGTAGCTCCGTAGCATCATAAGTCCTGTCTCTCATTCCGACACTTATTTACTTCCAAACCAGCTTGAGATACCACTCTTGGCCTTTGCAGCACCCTAAATGATTGTCAGCATGAAAAGTTCCTCTCATACCCGACATCTTCACGACAGCACCTCATCCATCCTCGGTTCCTCCTGCCCATCGATGGCCGTCTCTTCCCGGCTTGCAGAATAGCGTGTCACTCACCTCAGTCACCTTCTGGTCGAACTGGTCGATAGCCTTGTTCGCGTTCTTCTGAGCATCGGTAGCGGCAGAGTTCAAAGTACTTTGCGCGTCCTTGCGGTATTCTGCCAATTTCGCATCGACCTTGTGCGCCTCTTCTTTGCCGTCTCGGACGAGCTGGTTGAACTTGCTCTTCGCTTCCTCGCCATAGAGCTCTGCGTCCTTTTTCGCTTCCTTGCCGGCACCTGGCAGTTGTGACTGGACCTTGTTGGAGGCTCTAGCTGCATCGGCTGTATATTCAAGGCGGCGTCAGTGAAGATTATGAGATGTGTGAGGCATAATATCGCAACTCACCCTCGAACTTCTTCTCGGCGACCTTGGGGTCACCGCCAGCGGCGTACAGATAGTATCCAACACCGGCGAGGAGGGCACCACCACCGATGGTTACTGCGCGTTGGGACATGGCTGTTGATCTGCCCGTAGAGGTTGTTGTGGTTGGGTTTGGGAGAGGTGGAAGGGGAGTGAGGACGAGGATGTGGTGGAAGTTGTTGTAGATTTTTATGGTATATGTAGTCGAATGTAATCGAGCAAGAAATGGAAGTGGAAAGACAATGAGACAATGACCAGCTCAGCTTCCCACGTCGTCATAACGCATCGTAGTACATACATTAGCTCCACCAGCCACTCAGCCACTCAAGCCACTGCACGTGTGGGCTCAAGGATGGTGAAGACACAAGAAACCACAAACGAGCAAGAATACACATGAAATCCACGTATTTCCATCCCCCATTATCCACCAACCTCCGGCACTTCACGTTCTTGTCAGCTTGTCAACCTCGACCGTCGACCCCATTTTATTTCTTATCAAATATCAATTGGCCATTCATTATTGACCTGGTGACATTAAAATTTACCAGGCAAGCATTGCTACCTAAGGAGCTGACTGGTATACGGTATACAGGGTTAAACAGAGCCCCCCCCAAACTGATAGCCGGATAGGCAAAGGCTATCGTATTCGATAGCGATACCGTCACCAGAATAGGCTGGACAGCCCATGCCAAACACTGTTGATTGTTATTGTTGGGTTATTGCTCATTCTCATTGCCGGCTATGGCCAATCCACATTACTCCCCCTCTTCTTCCCTCCAACCCGACGAAACTCAACCTTTGCTCTTCTCTTCATCACCCTCACCCACCATCTCCCGTCAACAGCAGCAGCAACAGCAGCAGGTACATGAAGATTGCCCCAACAATACCGCCATAATGGATCCCCCCACCACCACGACAATAATGAAATCCGACATCACCATCAGTGAGGAAAGCCGGCATGGCATAGAAACGGAGCATAATCTCTCCTTTATCGAAGCTCTGAAATTGTATCCCACTGCTGTCGCCTGGTCGGTTTTCTTCTCCTTGGGCATTATTATGACCGCCTTTGATCCGCAATTATTGGGAAATCTCTATGCGACTCCTGCTTTTCAGCGAGATTTCGGCTATCTCTACGAAGGCTCCTATATCGTTTCTGCCCCCTGGCAAACGGGCCTCTCCATGGGGAGTCCGATCGGACAGGTCGTGGGCGCTTTTTTTGCTGCGTATCCAATGGAATGGTAAGGTCGATTGTTCTCATCATTGATGAACTACCCTACCCACTGTGCCCCCCCCTCAAATTACTTCTCGCTTACTTTTTCTTCGTGTGATGACTTTCTAGGTATGGCCGCAAGCGGACGTTTGGAGCGTGCGTAATCTTGACTGCGGGTTTCATCTTTATACAATTCTTCGCCCGATCATTGCCAGTCTTGTTGGTAGGGGAACTGCTCGGTGGTTTGATTCTCGGCACCTACGCTGTCATTGCCCCGGCATACGCTTCAGAAGTGTGTCCAGTCGCGCTCCGAGGTATTCTCACAAGCTATGTCAACCTCTGCTTTGTAATGGGTCAACTCATTGCCAATGGAGTCATCGCAGGCACCAGTAAACTGGACACGCATTGGGCCTATTCTGCTCCTTTTGCTGCGCAATGGGTGTGGCCGCTGGTAATTTTGATCGGCTGGCCCTTCGCACCCGAGTCTCCATGGTGGCTCGTCCGCAAAGACAGAATCGCAGAGGCCGAGGCGGCATTGAAGCGACTCGCAAGCCCCCATGTCGATGTCAAGCCTACACTCGCCATGATCATCGAGACCGATCGTCTGGAACATGAGATGGAGGCCGGCACTACCTATGCAGATTGCTTCAAAAAGATCAACATGCGAAGAACAGAAGTCGCGATTGGCGTCTACAGCATCCAGGTCTTCTCCGGAGTCTATCTGGTCGGCTATGCGACCTACTTCTTCGAGCTGGCCGGATTGCCGACAAGCGATGCGTTCAGTATGAGCTGTGGCTTCCTAGCCCTCGGCTTCGTAGGCACGCTATTCTCCTGGTTCTTGCTCCTCCGCTACGGCAGACGACAAATCTACAACGTGGGACTCTTCCTACTGGTAATTCTCATGTTACTAATTGGAATCCTGGACTGCGTTCCCGGCTACGAAGGCAAAAAAGCTGTCATCTGGGCCCAATCAAGTCTCATGCTAATTTGGAACTTCTGCTACGACTTTTCCGTGGGACCCGTGTGCTTCGTAATTCTCTGCGAAGTCTCGGCGACAAAAGTCCGAAGTAAAACGATTGCTCTCTCTACTGCTGTGCAAGCACTCTTGGGCATTGTCATGACTGTAGCGAATCCTTACATGCTGAATGCCGATCAGGCGAATATGCGAGGCAAAATTGGTTTCTTCTATGGAGGCATGTCGGCTTTCGCGCTGGTATGGGCCTATTTCCGAATCCCGGAAACCAAGGGAAGAACGTACGAGGAGTTGGATATTATGTTTGCTCAAAATGTACCTACTAGGCAGTTCAAGACGTATCGCTTAGAGTGAAGTATAAAGATTATGTACCTGAGACATGAAGATTCTATTAAGTTCCGCTTTGTCGTCGACAGTACTCGAAGGACTCGTGATTGAACGCTACGGTAGGCTATGCGTGGACGTTCTTAGTACATTTCACCTTGTCGTGCTCCTGTCTCCAATCTCTATTGCTGAAAACACTTCACACTCGTTCTAGACAATATTGCAATCAGCGCGTCAGTTCCATAACCGAGCTTGATAGCGTGGCTGGCCAGAGAAGATCCCACTTAAAACCTCGTGGTTCCTTAGGTTTGGTGTAGTACATCCGAGGAGATTGTGTATTTGGGGCAAGGCTTGAGAGTGAGAATTAAGGGATGAGAGATTCGGTTACAGAACTGTAAGCGAGCACACAAGAGTAGAGAAGAAGGTGGCATGCATGCATGAGTTGGGTAACCTGGCAGACATGCCTACTTTTTTGTTCGTTGGATTTTTCAGACTTTCTCAGTAAGCCAAATCGCACCTCGACATCCCCCTCGTATCACCCCCGTCAAAAGTTCATACGGATTCGCCTCTTTCGCATCATTCTCCACCGCATGATCCAAATGCTCCAATTCCTCATCCCGTATCCTTCTAATATCCGCAATCAACTCTCTCAATTCCTCTCCAGGCTCCTCCCCACGAGCCTCCATATCTTTAAACCACGACAACAACTCTCTTACCTGAGAATTATAATGATCTCCAATTTCCGTCTCCACTGCTTCCGTACACGCCATGGCGGCTTCTCGTCCTAACACTCCTGTGCTCCAACCGAGGACTGTTGCGGCGATTTGCCAGACGGGATACATGGCTGTGGGGCGAATGCGATGTTTGGCGAGTAACGTGTTGAATTTTTGAAAATGACCGGCTTCTTGGTCGTACATGTGTTGCATTAGAGGTCGTAGGTGAGGATGGCTTTTGATGATGGGTGGCGTTTGGGAGGTGTAGATGAGCGTTGCGGCTAATTCTCCTGCGTGGTTGACGCGGAGCGCGGAGTCGAGGAATTTCTTTTGGGCGGTACTGAGTGGTTTGCTTGGTTTTCGTGCTGTTGCTGGAGGAGGAGATTTGTCGTCGAGGGTTTGAGGCTGGACTTCGTGCTGGAGGGAACGTGGAGCGGAGGATGTGAAGGCTCGTCGTGTGTGCAGTTGGAAGGCCAAGGGCGTGAGACGGGCCTTGAGGGGGAGGGTGGGTGATAACATGTTTCCGTCCCTTTCTATCGCGTTGTTCTATATTAGATATGTATGGTACAACAGGGTAGAGTTGAGTGTGCTGTATAGACCACAATGCATGCATAGGCGAAGAAGTTGTGCGTCACGACTACTAGTGTGGTAGTTGGTAGGGTGGATAATTTAAGGTTTATACTAAACGGGGATCTTGCGCCAGGAGGAGCGAGCAACACTACCTAACGGAGGTACTGTGGTACCGCTGCGTAGTCAGCATCAGCGCAGTGAAACTATCCCGTCTTCGCCTGTCCACCTCCACCACCACCACCACCACCTCTATTCACACTCCTGCTATTGTCTGCCTTCTGGTATTGTCGGCATCACTCATAGACCGTTTACAAGACGGCTTCCGCTCGTACAAGTCATCATAACCTCGCATCGTGGTCGTCCGCTTCTCCCCATTCGTCACCGTGACCCGATAGTCTCGATTTCAGCCTCTTTGTACAACAATCTTGACGTGGCCGTCACCATCTACAGCTCATCGCAGTCCTGTCAGCGAAGATCCGTCGGCACTGTGTAGTGACCTAGCTTGGACGAACGTCCTTCAGCGCATCCCCAGAACCGCTCTCCCGCAAATTCGGCGCGATGGCAGATCTCGACGAAGAGCTTTTGGGCCTGGTCGGCGACGACGATAGTGGTGACGAGGGAAGTCTCGACGACTTGGAGCGACCGGAGCAGGCGGAGCTCGGCGATATTTCTGGTGGTGAGGAGCCGCAGCCCAGCGTTGAGCAGGTGGACGATGTGCCTGAGAGGAGGAAAGGAGTCGCACAAAAAGTGAGAGCCAAGCGGGGAAAGCGGAAGGTCAGGCAACAGAGTGAAGACGAGGATGACGATCGGTAAGTAATTCCACCTGCAGCTTTACACTCCACTTCTCGACACCCACTCTGCTCGGCCTGCTAGAGAACGCAGCCGCACGTTCATCATCCTCAACAACAAGAACAACTGCCATCCGTCGACATGTTGTCTGCACGCATTGCTGACCAGAAGGCTTGCAGCTCTGCAACTCCTGGTTCACCCGAATCCGTTGTCCAAGACGACGAGGCCGATGCGCCCGGAGAGGAAGAGGAGGAGATTGAACCATTGTACCCGCTCGAAGGCAAATACAAGTCGGAGGACGATCGCCATTACGTCGAGGGTTTGTCAGAGATTCAACGAGAGGAGCTCCTCGCGCAACGTGCGGAACTGGTGACCCGACGTACGCAGGACCAGCTGCTGAAGAAGGCTCTGGCTAGCAGCAGTGCCGCCAACAAGCAGAAAAGAAAGGCTGCTGCGGCAGATCTAGAGGACAACAACAGACGCACTACTCGACCGAAGACGGAAAAGCAGACTGCTTTGGATACCTACCGGAAAGCGCGAGAAGAGAAGGGCGCACAGCGAGACCGAATCGCGAGCGCTCGCGACCGTAGAGACGAGCGCTCTCCGTCTTCCCATGGTTCGGAAAGAGATGCCGATGGAGAGAGTGAGGTTGAGTGGGCGGCGGAGCCGGAGCGTAAGGACGAGCCACCAGCAGAGATTACGGACTTCAATTACGCAAGAATGGGCCGTTCGGGCTTTGCCAAGGTCTGCTTCTATCCAGGATTCGAGGAGGCCATCATGGGTAGCTTTGCAAGAGTTGCGATAGGACCTAACCGGGAGACGGGCCAGAGCATGTACCGCATGTGCCAAATCAAAGGCTTCACCGAAGGCAAACCTTACCAGATGGCGAACTCGGTTGGCAAGCCTTTTACAACCGATCAGTATGCGATTGTTGCACAAGGCAGTGCCGAGAAGCCATGGCCCTTCTCCGCCTGTTCCGATGGGAGGTTCACAGATGCCGAGTACGTTCGTTTCATGGATACATTGCGGAAGGAGAGCATTAAGGTACCATCACGACGGTTCTTGCACAAGAAAGTGGCCGAAATCAAAGGCCTGCTCGACATGCAGTTCACCGAGGAAATGTTGAACCAGAAGTTCAGCAAGCAAAGAGCGATTCAGCTCAAGTACGATCCGGTCCATCAGGCCAAACTGAAGCGCAAGGACATTCAGAGACGTCGCGCGGAAGCGGAGCAGAACATGGACGAAGAGGAGATGGCCAGATGTGATGCCGAACTGGAGGCTCTCGAGAACGGAGCCGCTAACGGCGGACCGAAGACTGCACCAAAGGTCAAGGCCAAGGACCATGCCAGCCCTGCGAAACCGGTGGCGCAGCATGAGAGTCTTGCCATTCTCAACCGGCAAAACCGCGCTAAGAACCAGCACGAAGTCAGACAGGCTTTGATCAAGGAGCGAGCAAAGATTGAGAAAGCGCGAAGAGATGCACATGACAAGAAGACTGCCGAAGTTCGGGCGGCAGTGCATGCAAAGGCCCACAGTCGGGCTTTGCAGCACAACAAGGAGCTGTTTGGTGAAGACACGCCTGGCACGAGCCGCGCCGGCACACCTGCCAACGGTACCAACCCGCCCAAGAAGCGCGCTGACATGGGACTCAACGGAGTCAAAGGCCCCATTGGCGCACTGAAGAAGAAGAACATGGACGACGAGGTCATCAGTGGTCTCGACTTGGACATTGATATTGAGATCTGAAGTCTTTGCAGATGATGTGGTCTTTGTACGAATAGAGAGAGAGAGAGAGAGAGAGAGAGAGAGAGCGAGAGCATCGGAAGCAGGGATTGCATGCATTTGATGGGGAAAGTACTGAGCGTTATCAGCGAGCGAAAAGCGAGTAAACCAACCAGGCAGATATAAAACTGAAAAGCGGGCAGTAGGAATGAGTCTTGATCTCCCAAGACACCATTATGAAACCCTTTTCTATTCTATGAGGTTTTACTATGAACGCACAAGGCAATCCCGCCGAGTACAAACCCCATTCCAATCCACGTATCTGCGAATCCAAAAAGTCAGCCAATCTTCGTCCCCCGTTGCAGCTTGCACCTCTCTCATCATAGCAAATACATCGTGTAACCGAACGAAAGTCTTGCAGTTGACTTCCACCTCCTCCTGTCCAGCGGATACATGTATGGAAGGTATGGAAGGTATGTGAAGGTAGGTATGTAACTTACCTCTTGAAATCACCTTTCCATCCGCCCACCATTCCCCCAACACTGTAAATAAAAATGCCAAAGAGTTTGTAATGGGTACCGTTAAACTCAATTCTGTTCCAGATTGTCCCGTAATCAGTCAGTTGTAGTTTTGTCAAAATTTTAGTCCAGCAAGAGACTTTTTTGTTTTTTGTTGTGTTTGTCTCAACAAACTCGCCGCCGCCGCCGCTGCCGAAAGAGAAAAAGAGTAACAACAGAGGGGATATAAAAGAAAAAAAAGAAGAAAATAATAACATACCAGCCTGCCCAATCAACAAAAAAAACCATACACTCCCCGTGACATTCAAGAGTAACGGAATCGCATATTTGGGATTCTGCAGTAAATCTTTCACTGCGTACCAAATTGCTAGAAGTTTTCTTTTTGGCCAAGAGGAGATATTCTTGTTATTTGAATTCGAGTTCGAATGCGGTTGTTGGGATTTTTGAGAGTCTCGAAGGACTGCGGCTTTGCGCATAAAGGGGGTTGTCTATTGGAAAACAGGGAAAATAAAAGCGAGGTGGGATTGTTAGGGAATTGTTCTTTTGGAGGATTTATTTGATTTTATTTTTTGGGGGGAAACTGACCAGTCCCCAGCACATGCCGACCATGAGGAATCCGATTACCCAGCGCCATATTGAGGGGGAGGGAGGTGGGGTTGTGGGGGAGGAGTCGGGATCCATTTTTGTTGATATGGATGAGTGAGGCGATTTGAGACCTGTAGTGGAATATGGTTGATGATAGTAGAGTTGTACTGTATAGTTGATCTTTCAAGATGCGTGCTCGCTCAAACCAGGGGATGGGATGTAGTTGAATATCCTTGGCGGCGAGAGTCAAGGGACAGGACGATCTGAAAGGACGATTCGGAAATGACTAAGCACGTGTGGTAGGCATCCGGATGACTAAGCTTCGGCGCGGATCAACGTAAGCTCCGGCTGAATATTACTTATATATATATATATTAACTACCTACGTAAAGCACTATTCAACACTATATAATCTACTACTTTACGGCCTACAAAGCGCGTTTAACGACCCCTAGTTCCGTTACTCTTAGTCTCGACTGCACGGGGCCCGTTACTCTTAGTTTCGACTATAGGGGGCCCGTTATATAACCCTAAGTCGTTAGATTTACTACGTATAATACTGCGGCCGCGGCCTCGGCCGTACGGCTATCTACGTCTACGTCTACGTCTACGGCTATAGCTACGTACTAGCTTAGTAGTATTAACCGCTGCTAACTTATTACTTTCGGCTGTCTATAGTACGTCGGCTACAATAGTACGCTGCTAAGCCGCGAATTCGGAGCGTAACGCGACGGTAGTAGCCTTCTTAGCTAATACTATATCTTTACTAGCTACCTCTATACTCGTTATAAGCCTATTAGTCGTCTTATTACTACGCTTCGGCAACTGCGGCTATAGTAGATACTAAGCCGGCTTTATAGATACCGTAAATAGAATCGCTTCCGGTAGTAAACGGTCGCGTTAAGTAGCCTATATACCGGTTAAGTAAACGGCTTCGAACGCTTCGAGCTTGTCTACGTAGGTATTATAGTCCGTAGCCTATAGTAATAGTAAGCAACTTAACTAGCGTAGTATAGAAACCTATATACGATTATAACTGTCCGCGCGTTATAGTAATGCCTCCTATAGTCTATCCGTCGCGGCGTCGTATTGATTCTACTAGTTCGGTATCTACTAGACAGCGTTACTAGCGTAAACGGAACGATTGTACATAAAGTAACGAGGATATAGTATACTACGAGCAATCGCCTTCCGTTTAATTACTATAGGTAGTAGTATATAAGTATATAGCAGTCTGTATTGTTTAACTTTACTACAATCTGTATAGTAATCGCGTATCGGATACGGCTCTGCCGTTACTACCGAGCGCGTATAATTAGCCTTGTCTACTATACGTTTAATACCGAGAGCGTTATACTATAAAACTAGTAGCCTGTCGATTGTCTATATCGTTACTTAGCTATTGAGTTACGCGAAATAACCGAGATTATTAGCCGCTACGGCCTATAGGGGTAATCTAATATACGTGTTTTCTTCTAACCGTTCCAAATTATTAAACAGCTTATCTAGATACTGCTTAATACCTTTAACGCACTGTTCTAGTAATAAGTACGGCGGCAGATACCCCTTTATACTACGATTGCTGCCTTCCGCGCGCTATAACGAGCGAGCTCTATTATTCGGTAAATACTTAACATAATACGTTACTAGTCGCTGCTTAATAACGACGTAGGTATTACAGAAATATTCGGTATCCTCTATAGTCAATCCGTCGAGAATAGCCGCCTCGAGTTTATCGGCGGCTTCGGCTGTATCCGCTTGCAGCTACGGCTATATAAGCGCTTTTAATTCCGTCTTCTACTCGGTAGTATAGCCTAGTTTGCGAGCTCGAATACGTCTTAGCGCGTCGATTCGTACGGTCGATTCGTCGTTAGTAGCTATAATAGTAGCTTAGCGTACCTTACTATCGGCGGCCTCGGTACGTACTACGTATACGGTACCCTTGTCGATACGCTTGTAAAGGTTTTAAGCCGCGTACTATTAACAGAATTGCTAAATATAGCGCTGAAATAGTAACTCTAGAATAGCCGTAATAAGGCCGGCTCCGGTATCTAAGATAATTACTTTATTAAGTCGATAGTTACGTAGATAGTTGTTAAATACGACAAGTAGTATAAACAGCTAATCCTCTTTACTCTCTAACTTTATTAGTAAATAATATATCGGAAATAACCGTCCGGTATTAGTAACCCCTATAAATACGCCGAGTAATAGACCGGTACGATTAGTGCTAAACATAGCGTCTATCTAGAAGCTATAATCTAGTACGAATCGCGTAGTAAAGCGCGCTATACGTTGCTACTAGTAAACAAGCTGCTTAAGTAATACCCGTATAGTACTACTAGTCTATAGATTAGTAGTAAACGACTAACGGCCTTTATATTCGAATCCGGAAGTAACGAGAATGCTAAGCAATACGTTAATAACGGTGTCGGCGTCGCCGGAGCTACTGAACGTATTACTCTTAGCTAGGTTATAGTAACGTTTGCGATTGAGTTAGAGTTCGTAAAGCGAGAGCTATCGGTATATAGTACTGTATAATTCGTTCGTAAGTCGATACTACGCGGCCTACGCTACGGCTTTACCGAAGCTAGATATACGTATCTCGTAGACAGCGTAAACGGACGGATTTAGCGCTAATTCGTATATATAGTCGAGTGAATTAACAATTAGCTACTACTGTTTAACCGTCGTACCTTGCCTTACTTATATGTAACCTAGTCGGCAGTTCTAACTATACCCCCGCTATCGTACGTTTCTCGCGTTACGGACGCGTAGAGTAAGTAATTCGTCGTCGCTGTTACCTATATAATCGTCGAAACCGTCGTTGTTTCTAGTAATAGTTCTATAGTAAATACACTTATATATAGCTCGGTTAACATTACTAGACGTATAGACAACCGCAAATCCTTTACTAAACGCGTAATCCTATAGCCTAGCCTTATAATAGTCCGGATTTCGGAATATCTTACTAGTGCGTAGATACTTATAATAGCGTAGATCTATAGTGTCGATAAACTCGCGGACAGCCGGCATATAGCTCTCGGCAAGTAGTAAATACGGAATCTACGTCGGATAGGGCCGCGGTACCGGCAGTTCTACGTAGAAGACGGATAGTAAGTAAAACTTAACCTTCTTACTACTACGTCCTTATAAAAGGATAAGATATATAGGCTGAAGTATCTATTAGAAAAGTACTACTCGAATCGCTTAGGAGAAGGATAGGAATACGTCTTCTCCTTCTATTTATAAGTGTATTCTTAGAGTACCCGGAGTCTCGGGCCTCTTGGGTCTGATTTGGAATATCTCGATTTAAGATCTCTTATTCTGACTCTTCCTAAACTATCTTAAGTTAGCTCTAGCGGTAAAGGTTTGGTATAAACCTTCTTAAGTCGCGGTAACCCGTTCTAGCCCGTCTTAGGTATTTCCGGGCTATTCCGGGTCTATCCTAAGATATCTGTATCGCTGTCTAGTCTAAATCCTAATATTGCCCCCCCCTTTTTTACAGTTGTCCTCGACTATATAGGCCCCTATTTTTATCTCTTTGTTCCTAGAACAATAAGGCATTAAGTAAATAAACCTATAGAAAGTAATAGATCGCATTCGTCCGCCCTAGAATCTAATAGAGCCTGTTCCGGCGAATACCTTTTTTTAGCGTAGAAAAGGGCGTCTTTTTCCTAATAGTTTCCTCGTCCGTCTACTAACCTCGCCGCCTTTTTCCAAAATTTGTAAGTAAATCAATTTTCTCTACCCCCTATTCTAGTAGTTCCTCCTAGGGTAACCGAAGCTCTCCGGCCTATTCTAGGGCATTCTTAGCTAACTCGGGTATTAGTCTACTATTCTGACTCGTTCCGTTATAGCTACCGCCTCTTTGCCTAATAGTAATCCTTATATAAACTATATTAGCGTCCTCGCCGCGGCCCTAGATATAGAGGTCGTAGACACTCTACGAAACCTCTATCTGTTCCTACGTCCCTTTATAGGGACCGGTTAGACCTAACTCGACAATGTTCTCTATACTCTTTAAGACCCTAGTCCTGTATCCTACTAGAAATACGCTACCCGGTCCGGCTATTGTTTCTAGGTATCGTTCTAGCCTATTCTAGGGCGTCCTAGCCTAGACCGGTCCTAACTGTATTATAGGTTCCTATAATATTCCGAGATAGTATCGAATTTATTAATAGCCTCCGTCGCTTGAATAATTAGGCCGATACCTCCCCCGCCGATCGCTAGGCTAACGTAGTTAATACTAGGACGGTTGTAGACGCCTTTTATAAGACGTTAAAAGGGTAGGTACCCTATAACTGCCCTATTCTAGGCTATTCTGAAGTATTGCTAACTAAGTCTAGCAAATTTCCCGTATTTTAGGGAGTTAATTACCTATACGTCTATCTCGGCGGTCCCTAGATAGATAAGTCTAGCCCCTAGATAGATCCCGCCGTTGCCCGCTATAGAGCGGACCTAGAGAGGGAGGCCCTTAGTACTAAGGGCACCCTAAAGAAGAAGAAGGTTACGTCTATATTCGTATAGCCGGATTAGGTACCCCCTCGGTCCTGTCTAGAGCAGGCTAATACTACTATCTGTAACTTGTATAAGTATATTAACTATATAAATCGAGCTTTAGTATATTTCCTCCCTTCTAGCCTATTCTAGGCCATTCTGACTCGTTATAGCGTAAGTATTATACTAAGACCCCTCTCCGCTAGGATCTCCGCAAATTGCGCCTACTAAAGGTTACGTAGGCGATAAAGCGTACCGGCTTGAAGGCCGACGACTCCGAAGGCGACGATTCGGCCGAAGGTAATAATAACGATAAAGATAACGACGATTCTTCGTAGGTAGATAGGTATAATTAGGGCATTCTAGGCCGTTATAGGCTATTTCGGGGATGTTTTAGGTGTTTATAGATAATACCCCCTCTATTTGTATAGTTCTTCGCAACAATGCTTCTTTCTCTATAATTAACCTTTAAGGTGTTTCCTTATATATACTATATAACTATTCCTATATATTTCTGCCCTAAGGCGCCCTAGTTCTATAGGATTTCCGCTTTGATGTCTTGATATATAACCTTTCGGACGTATTCTGCCCCTTCGCCTCCCGGTTTATATAGGTTTAGTATACCTTTATTACTACGGGGCTAATATTGCTTACTAGTTCCTAGGAGTTATCCTCTTCTCTATATCCCTTCTATAAAACTAGGTACGCCTATCGTCCCTGTCTGTCTACCTTCTGTCCCTTAATCCTATCTACCTCGTAGACTTCGGGGTCGTCTATCTTAAACGATTTCGGGTTATTCTAGTCCCTCTTAGTATATTCTGCCTCGATATAGTCCTCTAGTATACTAACGTAGAAGGTCAGATAGACTTTTATATCCTCGGGTAGCTTCAAGGTATATACTGCATCGTTAACTACGTAGATAACTTCGAATAGTCCGATAAACTTGTAATCTAGCTTCTTAGAGTCCCTTACCGTAGCTAAGTTCTTTATAGACAGGTATACCTTATCTCTAATTACGTACTTCTTTGCCTTACGCCCCTTGTTATAGTATTTAGCTTAACTCCGTTTAGCTTTTACGAGTCTTTCCTAGAGGGTTTTCTAAAGGCTAATCATTTTGTCGGCTAAGTCCTCCGCCCTCGGGGCATTCCCTCTATTCTAGACTATATCGGGCTATCTTGCTCGGACTAGGTCTCTAATATTATAGATTTAGAACGGGGTTGCGCCGGTAGAGGCGTATTAGCTGTCGTTATAGGCGAACTCCGCAATATTAAGTAGCCTTGCCTAATTGTCTTGTTCGTAGTTATAGTAGGCGCGGAGGTACTGCTCTATAGTCTAGTTCTATCGTTCTATCTGCCTATCTATCTATAGGTAGAACGCGGTGCTTAAGCCCCTTCGTATACCTAGATAGTAGCAGAATATACTCTAGAATTTTGAGGTAAACAGCGTTCCCCGGTCCGTTACTATCGATACCGGGATGCCGTATAGATAGAAGATATCTCGTAGAAAGAGGTCTACTAGATCTTCGGCCGTTATATCCTTCCGATATAGGGTATAATAGGCTATCTTAGAGTATCTGTCTATTACTACGTAGATACAGTCGTAGGTATAGCCTATAAAGGTAGATAGGGGAAGGTCTATAACGAAGTCTATAGTCAAGTCCTCCTATAGAGCACTCGAGGCGTCTTCGGCGGCTAATAGGCCGTATAGTTTGTACCTCCTCGGTTTTACCCTAGTATACGTCGTATAGCTTAAAGTATAGTCTTTCGTATAGCTCCGGACTTTAGGCTACTAGAATCTCCTTAGTACGAGTTCGATCGTCCGTTAGAAGCCGAAGTAACCTACTATTAGGTTATCGTAGTACTCCTAGAGTATCTCGAGCCTTAATAGTCCTTTTAGAATAAAGATACGGCCGTCCTAACTCTATAGGCCGTCCTCGTACGCCTATCTCTAAATCTATATAGATAGAGTTTCTAGACCTTTAGCTTTCGCGACCTTCCCTATCGTCTTATCTATAGGAGTATCTTCTCGGATCTTTTCGACTAGGCTCTGATTTATCTCTACCTATAGGTCGTATCTATAGCCCGAGGCGTTACTAGCTACTGCTCTAACCGCTATTATAGCCCGGACCGGACCCTCTTAGCCGGTAGTAGGCCCTTCCGGGTCGATTTGCCGCTATAGTATCTTTAATACGATAGAGGAGTCTTCCTAGTTCAACTATCGCCTAGAGTAGTCGGGGTCTATATAGTCTAGACGTCTACTTGTACTATCCGCTACTCCGTTAAGGCTCCCGGCCCTATAGACTACCCTAAAGTCTATAGTAGCGAGCTATTCCGCCTATCTTACCTACCTCCGGGAGAGGGTCTTAGTCGTTATAAACTATTATAGGTTATAGTAGTCGGTTATTAACTTAACCTAGTACTACGCCCTCTCTAGATAGTGTCTCTATACCTTAAAGCATTCTACGATAGTAAGGAGTTCCCTATTATAGGTATCGTAGTTCTTTTCTACCGTAACTATCTTACGAGAGAAGAAGGCTACCGGGAACTATTGTATCTTGCCCTAGAACTCGTATTGCTATATTATAACGTCTAAGATTATATAGCCGGATACGTCCGTTTCTACTTAGATAGCCTATAATAGGTCGAAATGCTTTAGAATTAGTACTAAGCAGAATGCCTGTTTTAGTTTAAGGAATAATTACTTAGCCTCCGGAGGCAGATTGATCTTTATAGACTCTTTATTCCGTTGTTTCTACCCTCCCTTTACTATATCGCCTTTTCTCTCTATCAATCGATTTAGGGGAGCTACGATTCGGGAGAAGTACTATATAAACTGTCGATAATAATTAGCGAACCTAATAAAGATCCGAATATCCCTTACAGACTCTGGTTCTAGCTAATCCCGGACTATAGCGATCCGTTCTAGCTCTATCTCGACCCCTCTTAGGCTAACTAGGTACCCTAAGAACCTAACTTAGTCCCTATAGAAGTTATACTTAGTTATTTTAGCGTAGAGTTTAGCTTTCTATAGCCGCTCGAGGACCGTTACTATATCTCTAATATAGTCCTCCTTATTTTAGGAGTAAATAAGGATATTATCGAGGTAGACTATATAAATAATATCGATTAGGTCCTTTAGTATATCGTTTATATACCCTTAGAACGTACCCGGGGCATTAGTAAGCCCGAAAGATATAACGGTATACTCGAAGTAGCTATATCTAGTCCGGAATATAGTCTTCTACTTATTGCCCTCCTTGATTCTAAGTCGGTAGTACGCGTCTCTTATATTAAGCTTAGTAAAGATCTTTGCTCTAGACAATTAGTCTAGAGATTCTTAAATTAATAGCAAAGGGTATCTGTTCTTAACCGTTACGGCGTTTAGTCTACGGTAATCGATATAGAGCCTAAGTCCTCCGTCCTTCTTCTTTGCAAAGAGGATACCTGCGCTAGTAGGGGATCGAGAAGGCCTAATCTAGCCCCTATCTAAGTATTCTTTAAGGTAGTTTCTAAGAACCTCTAATTCTGTCTTAGAGAGGTTGTATAGAGGCCCCTATAGGGGTATCTTGCCTTCTTCTAGCTCGATCCCGAGCTTAAATAGCCTATAATCGGCTAGAATAGAGGTATCTTTACTAGAGAATATAGAGGCGTACTATCGATATACCTCGGGGAGCCCCTCTAGGTCTTTATTCGTCCTGTTAATAAGCGATAGGGATATTGTATAAAGGACCGTACTAGAGTCTACGAGCTCTACGCGTATTCGTTCTAGGCCGATTATCGCTACTTTAGACTATTTGTATCTATTCTTCTTCTTCTAGGACAGTACCTTAGTTAAGAAGTTTACCGAGGGGTTCTATTATTCTAGCTACGGTATACTAAGGATTATCTCGAATCTATAGATCCTTTTAATAGTAATATAGGCAGTTCCGCCCCGTTTCGCTCCGTTACTAGCCGAAACTTTAAAGGGGACCTTTACGTATCCCGAGACTACGAGAGCTTAGCTATTCAAGGTCTTATACCTTGCCGAAGCCCCTCGTTCTAGAGTATAGCCTATTTCTTTAGCTACTACTCCGTCTAGAAAGTTTATCTAGGTACTATAGTCTACTAGAGCGTAGATATTCCGCCGCCCTATCGGGCCCTCTAGGGTTACTTTAACCCTAATTAAATTATATAGCTCTAGCTTTGTCGCCTACCGGCCGTATAGCTCTGCTAGCCTTCGTTGCTCCTCTATATATATTACTTATCCCGCTACCCGGAGTACTAGGGGGCGGGGCTAGCTTTTAGGGACCCCTTGTTCTTCTAAATTGCCTTATTAGAGCATTCCGGGCGTTTATAGCCCGTCTCGCCGTATCCGTAGTACCTAGGTAGGGGTCTAGTATCCTCCGGTCGGCTTAGTCGCCCTATTAACGGAAGTTAGCTCGTTTTGGAGTAGCTTTAGAATCTCTTTGTATAGCTAGCGGTTTCGTTAGTAGTATCGGACCGTCCGCGTTTGTTATTACGTTTGTCCTTTTAGCGATAGTCTCTTTCGGCCTAGATAGCCCTCTAGTAGATATTTGCTACTTCCTTAAGGGCTATAACGGTCGCGAAAGTAGTAAGGTTAATATTAATCCGATACTTAATCCTTCTATCTAGGGTACTCTTGAATTCTATAATCTTAGTTTGTTCGTCTTTAGTTCCTAGCTCGTCCTAGTATTCTTTTAGGTCGGTTAAGAGCTCTATTAGGATTCGAAGGTTCTATTTAATAGATTTAATCGCGTCGTAGGCGATTTGTCGTCTTTCCTAGGGCGTACCTATTGTATTAAGTATATATTCCTTAAAGTCGGACTAGGAAGAGGCGTTATAGGCCGGTTAGGATCGGAGTAAGTCTATAAACCGGTTCTATTAGGACCTTTGTTTAGTCGCTATCTATTCTTCTCCGAGTTTAATCTTAGTCTAGACGTCTATATAGTAAGCTAGGGCCCTTCGGAAGATTCGTTCGCAGTCGTCTCGCTATTCGATCTAGTCGCGTCTATTCTTTCCTTCGAATATATAAGGGTTCTATAGCTTAGGAATAAATTAGGCCAACGATAGGCTAGGATAGCCTAGGATAGGGTCGAGTCTATCGGTTAGGAGGACTCCGGTTAGAGTTTAGATTATCGCGTCGGATTATTTAAGTTACTAGAGCAACTTAGCGCGTTCCTCTCTAGCTTAGTTTACTCGAAGGAGTTGTTAGGCCTTTATAGACTCTACTTCTTCGGCTTCTAGCTAAAGTACGACGTCTACTTCTATTAGAGTACTAGTTGCTACCGAATCCTAGGTACTCGATCCTAAGTATATAGTATTCTTTAGACCTATATTTAGAGATACTTCGTTATACGATAAAGAAGCGATTCGTATATAAAAGGATAAGATGTATAGGCTAAAGTATCTATTAGAAAAGTACTACTCGAATCGCTTAGAAGAAGGATAGGAATACGTCTTCTCCCTCTGTTTATAAGTATATTCTTAGAGTACCCGGAGTCTCGGGCCTCTCGGGTCTAATTTGGAATATCTCGATTTAAGATCTCTTATTCTAACTCTTCCTAAACTATCTTAAGTTAGCCCTAGTAGTAAAGGTTTGGTATAAACCTTCTTAAGTCGCGGTAACCCGTTCTAGCCCGTCTTAGGTATTTCCGGGCTATTCCGGGTCTGTTCTAAGATGTCTGTATCGCTGTCTAGTCTAGATCCTAATAGTCCTTTGTCGACGGTTACTTCTACGGCGGCCGGCTCCGGCTGCTACTATAAGGCAGGGTGTTCAGATAGCAATAACTTAGCGCCGGCGTTACCGGCGTTGTCGTCGACTAAAGTATCGTCGATTGTAATAGTATTAGAGGTATACTTACCTTAGTATAGCTATATCTATATACTAATCGGATCGTCCGGCGCGTCCGGCGTAGGTAACTTATTAAGTATACTAGTGTTATTCTACGCTAGATCGTAACTGTCCTCCTCTTAATTAGTAGGTCGATTAGAGAATAGCTCTTCTAATATCTTAATATAGCGGAAGCCGCTCGGTAGTGTCTTAAATAGTAAAGATAGATCTAGTAGCCGGAAGCTCGTATTAGTATTGTTGTCGTCGACAAATAAGATATTATTCGGGCCGTTCGGGTCGTTTGTAGCCGTCGTTTCGTAGTTCGTTATAGTACTTATAAGCTAAGAGCCGTATCTCGCGCGTTTGTAGGCCGAATCTAGTAATTTTTGCAGTATAGTATTAGTATAAGTATATAGAAGCAATTGGAGAGGTATATATATACGTATCGGTACGTCGAAGTAAAGATATTCGGTATTGTAGATATCGTAGGTATCGTAGGAAAAGTCTGTATAGCAAGTAAGGTCAACCGGAACTACGTTACTCCGCGCCGAGCTATAAGTCACACGCTGCGCTGTAACTTATACGTGCTTAGTCATCCGGATGCCCACCACACGTGCTTAGTCATTCCGAATCGTCCTTTGAGATCGTCCTGTCCCTTGACTCTCGCTCCTTGGCGCGCTATGTAGCCGGGTCGGCGGAATGATTATCCTTTGTATAGGTAGTACATACATGAGGTGTAGGTACATGTATGGCATGTGGAACTTATTGAAGACTTGTCTGACTTCTAGGTTGCTGTATGTGTCTCTGATATCGAGAAGGCAACGTCGAGATGAATTATGAACAGGTACCAATAATATGCCATGAAAAGCACGATTCGATGCATGTTTCCTACTCACATGCGTGAGAAACTTTGGTTATGTCCCATGCTACATCTATGCCATACTAGGTACTTCGTTAATCTGAAGGCCGATTCCCTTTCTCGATACAGAGAACAGATTCACCGGAGAATTGTATGCCCTGGACATGGGCCTTCGTACCCCCATACGAAGCTCTGCCTGACGTCTCTGCATCATTCGGTTCTGACGTCTATGTGCTACTCCCCGTGAGCATGACTGAAGTTTGTTATGGTTTTGCGACGGAGAGAAATCATTGACAGGTGCCGCAGGCCATGTTCACCGCGAATTCTGCGCGGACACCCTAGACATGTTCTTGACGACAATGGTCGTAATGTAAGTATTGTGTGAGCACTTAGGACTATCCTGCTGCAGTGGAGCAGCAATGCATCGAAGATAGGTCGGTCAGTCCATGTAGACCTCATTTTTCAGATTTCTTAGGTTTTGCAGGAAGCCGTATCCACTTCCCCCTTCACTAGGCGTTTGAATAGCACTGGCGTTACCATACCTCATATCATGGCCCCGTGCAGGTGATACTCCAGGCTTCCGACTCGCCGCAGCGGTCCTCTCCAGTGCCTTCTGCTTGTCGTCCACCAATTTCTGCAATGAATCAACCAGCCTATTTCGCGCCTTCTCTTCAGCGGTACCTTTGAAGACTTCAGCCAATTCTCGCAGCTCAGCGACTCGTGCATTCGCAGCTTCAAGACCTTCAGTCCCAGCAGCGAGTAGGTCTTCGATCTCGCTGCGTAGCTTCTCCATATATTCCTTGCCCTTCTCCTCACGGCTCCTGCTATCATCGCTGCTTTCAGGACCCGATACGGATATCAGCGAGGACGCCAAGGATGTTTCCGAGGGCGCCAGTGGCCACTGCATTGCTGAGCCGAATGTCTTGATGACTGTATCGAGGCGCTCACGGACGGTAGTCAAGTTGCGCAGTTTCTCGAGGAACTCAGGCTCTGCAGAAGCGCCAAAGGCCTGCTCTGTGTTTGATCCATCCTTCGGCGCATCTGCAGTCGCTGCCATTGACTCCTGTGGCTCTTCACTTGCTGCGCTCCCATCCTGTTTTTTGCTCGGCACAAACGCCTCAATGTCCTTCTTCAGGCTGGTCTCAAGCGTGTCTGTGAGACCCAACGTCTCTCCTCTTAGCACTTCGACTTCGTATGCCAACCTGCTGCCACTTCTGATGATCTCGTCCGTCAATTGCGTTAGTGTGCCGGAAAGCCGCACAGTTTGAGCATTGAGCTGGGCCAGGAGAGTCTGCAATTGTGATGAAAGCTCTGGCAAAGGCACTGCTCTGCTGCCTCTCTGCAGCGAGGAGGACAGCGACAGGGTGGGCAGTGTACTGTTCAAGTAGTCGACCGGATCGAAGTCGGGCTGAAGGAATGGCTGAACGCTGCTGTCGGCGACGTGAGCTGACTTGGCTTGGACCTTGCCCGCCGGCGACCTGATGGAAGGAATGGCCATGACAACATCACACCGTGCCACCAAGAGAGTATCCGGTCGATTTCAGGTACATGTCTGTTGTCTGTAGGAGGTAGGAGGTATTCCACTGCAACAATCATCCCCGTCCCGTCACGACCGAGACAGCGCCCGGCTCGGGACTACGGGTACAGGCGATCGACGGCAGTAACACGCGAGACCCACACGAGACCCACATGCATCATCCCGACAAGCGCGTCCCCAGGCAACAACGCGCGCCGCGCCTTCTTCTTCACGTCTTCTTCCTCTTCTTCTTCTTCTGGTTCCTTCTGGCACTTCATCACGCTTTGGCTCATACTGCGGCCACCTTTCACTTTGTGGACTGTGCCGGTAAGGAGGTAACGATAGTAGCAGCGACGGTGACAGCGACAGTGACAACGACGGTGACAGCGACAGTGACAGCGACAGCAACAGTAAGGTAGACAGACACTGCCACTTCACTTCACTTCATTTCACCTCGTCGCCAAGCCTAGTCGCTCTCCCGCTCTCTCGCTCACACACAAACACGCACACACACACTCACACACACACACTCACAATCACACTCACACTCACCACCCCAGCACACAAACACACTCACACACACCATTATTCACGCGGTAGGCCGTCTTCATCTAAACGACCTGAGACTTCTGCACTGCACGCGCCAGCCCCACAGGCGCTTGGCTGCAGTGTCACGAACCTCGTCTTCGTGAAAGAAAGACACTCTGAGACAGCAGCACTTCACTCCGCCCTCTAGATACTTCTTGCATCTGCCGCCTCGCCGCTGCTTTTGTTTGCCAGTCCACTTCCCCGACAGTCTACAGATACACTTTGCGCTGTCCACACGCCACAGCCACAACACAGCTTACCAACAGCACTTTGCTCACTTCAACAAGTTCTACAACCTTCAGACATGACACGAAGCCAATTCCTCGATGATATCAGCACTGCTCGCGCGGGTCCTCTGCCTCTTGGTGTGATTGATGTCAAAGCTGGCGACGATGATGGCGAAGTCAAGTTCGCCTTTGTCGGACACCCCGCGCCCTTCAAGAACGGTTCTGTCACTGTCACGGCCTCGATCCAAGACCTCGGCACTTATCCCAAGTCGCATGAGTACTTCATTTTTTGTGGAGATAATGCTCCGCGCGACATGAGCGATACTCTCGCCCCCGTCGGCGGAATCAACAAGAAAATCAACAAGAAGCCTGTCCTAGAAATGCTTTACATCATGTCCGCTGCGCTGCGGAGAGTGCAACCCGACCGTGACGGCGACGTGCAGATGCTGAGCGAAGAGGACGAAGATGAGGCCGAGCATGATGAAGAGGATGACGATGCGGAAGAGGAAGAGGATGACGATGGAAACGAGGACGACGACTCAGGTCATGGGCTCTTGGTGGCACACACTGTCAACAACGAACCCAGACTTGCTACCCGTGCAGCAATGTTCAGCACGCGGTCGACATCCGATCGAGCCTTCAGACAGCGCATTCGATCAGATCTCCGGTCCGTCAAATCTGCCGGTTTCAGGGTCGGGCAACTCGGCCACTTACTCACAGCCGGCTCTGGCTATGTCGTCGTCTCCATTCGCATTGCCAAGCTTGGCATTTCAGAGGAAGCGATGCAGGCATGGCAGGTTCAGTCGACTGAGTACTTGACCTTGCTAATTCAGTACCGAAACGGCTACAAGACCAACGAGCAAATTTCAAGCATGGACAGTGCTCGACTGTTGCCGAACGTCGGAATTCGCATTGTCATTGGCAAGCTACCAAAACCGACGCTTCAAGAGGTCATCGATGTTTTCACGAGTGCACGAAACGAGAAGCATCACAGCAGGACCGATGGGCCAGCCGTGGGGGATGCCAATAACGAAGCCTCCTCAATACGTGGTTCCTTCATCTCAAAGCCATTGGATGCGCTCCTAGATGATCGTCTAGTCAGCATCTTGCGTTTTCGCAGTCTCGGCATGAGTCGTCGCGGAGCGGAAGAACACTTCTTGGCATGTCGGTAAGTATATCATCCACCTGCCCCCCGTGATGCAGGAGGTAGTGAGCTCGCTTTCGAGAACAGTGCTGGTCACTTCCAAGCTGGGCAAATTGAAACAGAGGAATACGCTGACACTAGACTCAGCAGGTCAACTGGGCCAGCAGAAAATCCCGTCATTGCTGACGCTCGCGTCTTCGAGAAAGAAGTTGTCAGTGCTGCCCTACCGCACATTGTACGTGCCGATCACTACGAAACTGCACCCGACCAATCGAAAGTTTCGTTCCCGCTACTCGCCATGCAGTTTGTGCTACGCCACTTTGTAAGTTGTCTCTCACTAGCTCGCTTAGACTCGGTCGTGGAGCATAAAACCAGCCATTGCGGGATGGTGAACAAATTCTTTTTGACACACCTGCTGATCGAATCCTACCTCTTATAGGTGCGCTGCACTGAGTTCTGCATGGTCTGCCATCGGAAGCTGGAATCTGACGTTGAAGCCATTAAGCCATACGTGTGCGACAATCCGCTGTGTTTGTATCAGTACATGACTCTGGGTTTTGGTCCGAGCATTGAGCACGAGGTGATTGCGCAGCCATATGTCGTCGACCTGCTGGTTTCTTTTTGCTACAACAGCGCAGCTGGTCTAAAACTGCACGACTTCCCCGATGGGCTCTCTTTGGTCGTTCCGCCCATCCGTTCTTCGAAGTACAATCCAGCCGGTAGCAACGCTGCAACTGCTCGCAAGGCGCCCAAACACGCTCGAACTGCAGACGTCGGAACCCGCGACAAGTTCCCGACCTTCGACGTGAAGTATCTGCAGGGCAAGGGCGAGCTCATCTTCGCAAAGGGAGACCCAGAAGAGTGTCCAGTCCGCTGCGGCCAATGGATCGTGCTGACCAGCTCTGCGATAACTGCCCAAGATTTACACTGCCGTGTTGCTGGTACCACGTTCTTCCCTACCATTTCCATCGACAATCCGGTAAGTGAAAATGGGCTCGGATAGAGGTCTTGATCTCGGCATCCCGCTCTGGCTCGCTCGTGCTAGGGCGGGAAGCTTACGCTCACCCTCAACCTGTTATCTGCGATACGTGCTTACCTTCGCCGCCTTAGGTTGTTGTGCCACAACAAGCAGCTCCATACAGCCTAGCAAGCACTCCAGCTGCCAGCCCTGACGTTGTCGACGCTAGCTTCCAAATGTATTCGCAAGATTTCGACAAGCTCAGTACTGAAGCCAAGTGTCTGGCCATCGGTAGGCTCCTAGATACATTGCCAACGGTCAACGAAATGAGGCACTATCTTGAGAAGCGACACTCTGCTAGCCTGCAGGGCTGGACTGAGCGCATCTCCCCTTCTGCCGTGAGCTTACTCCGCTGGATCATTGCAAGCAACCGAGCTTGTATCATGCAAGTAGACGGGAACGCTCCTCCTGAAGGTGAGAGTGCCGCGACCGCTTCCCAAGCTCCATCTGTGTTCGGCAAGACCCATGAGCGTTGCCACGGTATGAAAGGCTATATGCAATTTCGCTTCGCCATGGGCGCACCCGACAAGGAGCAACGGTTCATCACCGAAGTTCGCAAGACTACGACACGTCTCAGCTTGATACACCCCACGATATTCGCTTGGCACGGCTCTTCGCTAGCAAATTGGCACATGATCATTCGAGAAGGCTTGCACTACAACAACGTGGCGAATGGTCGTGCTTACGGCGATGGCGTCTACCATGCTAGGGACGCAACCACTAGTACAGGTTACTGCAAGCCAGGCAAGCATGGCGGTGCTGGTGTGCGTGGCGTCTGGCCGAGCAGTATTCTGAATATTTCTTCGGCGTTGGCTTTGAACGAGATTGTTAATGCTCCGAAGGAATTTCAAGCAAACACTCCTTACTACGTGGTCAAGCAACTCGATTGGATTCAGACACGATACCTGTTCGTTCAGGTCAATCCCAAGACGGACGATGTCATGATTGGTCCCGAGGTAAGTCCTCTCCGATCCCTCACTATGCTCAAGCCCATTACCGCGACGAGCTCGAGAAAAGATACATTCAAGCAACATCATGGTTTCGAAGAGACTTGCTTACATCTTCTAGGTCGTCCCCAGGCACGTTCACCCTCAGGATCCTGCTCATACCCCGCGAGGTATATCTGCGACTGATGGTCTCATCATTCCAGCATCCGCAATCAAGTCGGGAAAGAGAGCCGCAACACCCTCACCACACATCGATCCGTTGCCGTTCAAGAAAAAGTTGAAGCTCTCTGGAGGTGGAGCTGCCAGTGACCCCGTGGTCATCGCTGATGAAGATGACAATGGAAGTATCGCGACTGATGACGAGGATCGTGACCTCCTGGTCGACGAGCCGGGAGAGCTCCCACAGACTGATTTCGTCCCGGGCAGTTTGAAGTTCGATACGCTCCCGATCATGCCAGTAAGCAAAGAACAGGTACAAGAGCAAACTTTGCTCTCGAAGTTCCTTGAAGCTGGCCCTTCCCACTCCCCCAACAGAGACACTTGCTTATCTTTCTCTAGCTGCCCACTTACGCCACTTCCGCGGCCACCAAACGCCTCATGCAGGATCTTCGCTCACTCCAGAAGTTGCAAGACTCTACTCCTCTGGCCGAGCTTGGCTGGTATATCGACACTGAAAAGATTGAGAACGCTTACCAGTGGATCGTGGAGCTACATTCCTTCCACACCTTCGAGTACCAAGGCAAAAAGCTACCACTATCCGAAGATATGAAGAAGAAGGGCATCACGAGCGTTGTCCTTGAAGTTCGTTTCAACAAGGACTATCCATTTTCGCCTCCATACGTCCGCGTAATTCGGCCCCAGTTTCTCAGTTTCGCTGCCGGCGGTGGTGGACATATTGTCATTGGAGGTGCCATCTGCATGGAGCTACTGACCAACACTGGCTGGTTAAGCACGTCTTCAATGGAGGCGGTGTTGATGCAGATCCGTTTGGCCATCGCAAGTGAGCCGTACGCTCGCCTAGGCCCCCATGCAAACCGCGACTATGGCGCCGCGGAGGGAGCTGAAGGCTACCTTCGAGCATGTCGCACACACGGTTGGCAGGTGCCTCCTGGTTTCAGGGAAATGGCTTACAGTGGCTCTTCTCACTAGGAGCGTGACGACAGTGTTCTCCCAGACGAGTAATGGTCTCGACACTATGTGCAGGGTTTTAGCGCGGCGCTGGGGAAATAACATGGAAGCCACATGCTGCCGTCAATGATTGTACACGCTTTAGAATAAAGTAATAGCAACCTTCAACCGCTGTAGAAGTCTCTATCCTCAAGGTCATGATGCACCTTGTGCTTCGCGAATTTCATACTATGCTCGATCGAGTCTTTGAGAAGTTATAATTTCCCAGACAGCGCAGAAGAAACTAGTGAAGAAATTCTTTTTGTGCCATGCACGCTCGCTGCTCCCACCGACAGCAGTAGCAAGCATCTCCCTCCCTTACGAGAATACCTATATCTGCCTGCCCTCTTCCTTTTTCTCAACACTAGGTACATTTTCCAGCGATAAAACATGCTCATTCCTAACTAACTAACCCAGCACAAACACTGCATTTCTCCATATCTCTCAGTCCCTGTATCCACTGATCAGAATGATAGAAGTGAGTGACTTGAGCCATTATTCATCACCATCTTGGCTTACTCACCTTACCTTTGCTGCTAGCTTCATTTTTGGGATGATTGTGTTTGTACAAATTTACACTCCACTCCACTCCACTCCAGAAACCTGTGTCGGAGAGGTACGTGGTGCCTGGTATAGGTAGGTACATATCAAGTACAGATAAAAAGAACTCATGTGGTTTGAGATGTGGTTGTACTTTTTTGTTTTGGAGGTTTGGGATGAGAAGATATATCATGTACCGGCCTGAAAGAAGGAGGGATACATAATAGCTGACGAGAACTTCACTTGTTGAAGAAAGAAGAGAGTGGAGCACGTATGTTGGGTCACGCTCCAAAAAAGGGGGGAGCCTCAACACGATTGGATATTAGAGGTTTCAATCACTCCATTATGGGTCTCCACATCTTTCTCCCTACGAAACTCTTGACACCTTCGTCGGCCATGATATCATCGGCATTCCTGCCCGTGACGATGCTATGCTCATGGTCGCGACCACGCACGTAAAAGGGTTCCCAATCTCCGACCCACCTGCCGCTATCGGGTCCAGACCGAGCTTTGTGAAAGCCAGAGTTCGGACGATCTAATGAGACGAACCAATGTCGTTGATGAATTGATCCTATCGTGTTGCTGGCACCGGTGTAGGCGTTGTTCATACGCGTAGCGGTGTCTTCGTCATCCTCAGAAGCATTCGCAGCATCGAGATGCTCTTCTTCGATGATCTCTTCTTGGATTGAGCTCACTGCCACTTCTGCGTCACTGTCATCATCGCTGCTCGTAGCAGTGCGAGGCTTGCGTGCCATTGCCGGGTCCACGCGTCTCCTCTTCCGGGCAGGTTTCTTGGGTTGATCTGTACGATCGTTATGGGAAGGAAGTCGCATTGCGATAGTGTAGTTCTTCGGCAAGCGAGCTCCGTGCAGCCTCAGATGAATGTGGCGAGACTGAAATGCTTTGATGAGACGCTCGTGCTGAGGCTCGTGCTTCATGTCCTGCGATTCGGCATCTGATAGCTCATCATCTGTGTTTTTATAGGATCTTGGCTGCGGACGGTCTAGGACTTCATATTCTCCAGTGTCCCAAATGAGTAGTGATCCAGTGGCATGTGATGCTGATTCAATAAGGTTGTTCTGTGACTGTCAGCTGGTCTCGAAATGTCTCTACGAGAAGTGAGATAAGGAAAGTGCAGGTGCCCTTCATATGCTACCTACCCAAAGATTATGGACTCGAGTTTCTATAGCCATTCGATTGGGTCGAAGGCTATTCGCATTACCTGGCAGCCCATATGGAATGGCCCAGCTCACCGTGCTGGTTTCCGAGAACTGTAGCCGCAGGTCGTAGTGTACACCAGCAACTGGATGATCATGCTGATGAATCACAAAGTGAGCTCCTCTGGAATGCTGATTGCGCTGATATGTATCTGCAAACTGCTCAATCGTAATCCTTGGCTTTGGATTGGTCCTTGAGACAGAAGAAAGATGCTGCACAAAGTACGCGAGGTGATCGCGTATGACAATCTCGTGTGCCTCAATCGCTGCGGCTTCAGACTTCTTCAGGTCCGACGGAGTGGTTTGGCCTCGCTCGTGAGCAGAGGACGAGCACACAGCAGGGGCCGAGGCGTGCTTCCGTGTAGGGGGCGAGACATCACGTACGAGAGACGCCAAGCGGACCATAATCACATATATGTAAGGTCTCGTCTCCCTCCATGAGACAGTGCGATTGTGCGATGGTGTGTGATTGTTGTTGTCGTCGGGGTAGGAGGTACCTAGGAGGTGGGCCAAAAAGGAGACGCGTGAAGTGCCACGGCGTTGCGGCGATGACATACATTTCCTGGCTCGTGCTTTGAGCTTCAATGTTCAAATAATCTCGAATCACGACGAACTACTTTACCTAGTAGTCCAGACATCAACGACGCTTCAACCCGGACATCCAAACCACCCCTCTCAGACCATCATCATGTCCATGTTCGGCTTCGGAGGCAGGGCGCCGCCATCGTCAGCGGAGAAGATTGCCGCAGCAGAGGCTGAGATCGAGATGGTCTCCAACATGTTCAACCAGTATGTCCTGATATTGAGGCTGTCCTGCTGATTTCATCGCTGACACGCTTACGCACAGGCTCGTGGACACATGCACCAAGAAGTGCATCCCCAACACCTACCGCGAGGGCGAACTCAACAAGGGCGAGTCCGTCTGTCTGGACCGCTGTGTCTCCAAGTTCTTCGAGGTGAACATCAAAGTGTCCGAGAAGATGCAGGGAGAAGCGGCCGCAAAGCAGGGCGGAATGCTGCATAATTAGACTCGACTCGAGGGACGCGTAAGCACTCCGAGTGTTTTGCGCGAAACGCATGAAAGAGCACAGCATTGAGGGCGCGCACGAGGAGGTCCCTACTTCTCCTATGCGGCTATCTTTCACCAGAGGCTATCGGGGTCATCAGCAACAGGGGCGCAGTGGATGGACGCGAAGCTCGCGTCATCGTGTACAAACAGGCGCGACGAGGCAGGTACAGCACGAGCGCGAGTGTGGCGTGAGGAGAGTGCTGCTGGGTGCCTAGGCGCAGTGTACATATACCTTACTACGATACCCATACCAGAATTCGAAGGGCGTGTCACACGAAACATCCGTCATCCAAAGTAGCCCAGGCCGAGGAATGGGACAAATGGCTAAGATCTAGGAGATGCAATGACATTCTGTCGGGGCCTGTATCCCAGCAGTGCTCCCGTAGTACACCAGCAAGTCTGTGTACATACCGGTAAGCACTTCAGCGAGATGGGGTTTCTTCGGATATATCGACAAAGAAGCGAAGCGTAGAAGAGCGGGCGAGCGTTTATTAGTCTCTGGGTGCGTTCATGCCGTACCTTATGTACAGTGCTTGCGATGGGCTTGCCACGCAGCATGTATTCCTCTAAGCAGGCTGCTATATCACGCCTTCTCTAACCCAAAGCGCCCAGTGTACATCGCTATGCAAATTCAAATAGGTATCATTGATCATCATTATTATCATCATCATCATCATTTCAAGCCTTTTCCAGTCGTCTGCGATCCATCTTGCGCGGTAATGTCCATGGGACCGCACATATCACCTGCGAACACGTTAGCTTTCAGAGCCCAAGGTACACATTCGGGCACAATTGGTAGTAGCTGCTGCTCACCTCGCCCTCACTATATGCCCAAAAGTACACCCCAATCGCGATGAAATAATACAGCGCCGGATTCGTGGCCTGGTAGAGAAGAAGACTGCTCAAGCTCGCCAGCGGTAGCCACATGAGTCGCACTTCCATTGATTGTTGTATCGAGGTTCCAGCAACATATTTGAGCGGCCATTCGTACACCAGAGAGATGATTCCGATGATGAGGTTGATGGTCTGTAAAATCGGCACGGGCTTGACTGCTGAGTCGAAGTTTTTGGTCATCCAGTCGAAGAAGAACTTGGGCCAGAAGAAGCCTTCTAGCGCGGCAGCGATTTGATCTGGAATGGGTTTTCTTTTCATCAGTATCGAGTGGGTAGGTGGAGTTGGGCTGTGGTATACAGCTTTTTTGTCTTACATATTGCTGCTGTGAGGCAAATCAGGCGCGCCCAGTGGTTCTTGATCAGCTTGCCCATGCTGCGGTATAATAGTCGGAGATGGGAAGGGCTGGACAGCAATGAACGAATGCTACCGTTGCGATCGGTTGAAGGTCATTGTCTCAGGTATACTGGAGGAGGAAGGAGACTCGAGCAGATGGCGAAAGTGTGGTTAGAGAGAGAGTTTCCGGTCGTATAGGCTTGTAGGCTTCAGGAGGCGTATAGTGTTCGATGGCGGGGATGTTCTCGAGCGATCTGTGATGTACCTATTGCAGTGATATGGGATAAAGGAAGCGAGACCTCACGCTGCCGAGACTTTACAAGACCACCAATTGAGGAGGGTACACCGTTCTTGTGGCTTCGGAGACGAACGGCTGACTCGTCACAAGACGAATACGGGCTTTCAATCGTCGAAGCGCTCCTGGCGCATCATGGCAGCGTGCGGGCAAAGTGCTTGCATATTCGCTGGAGCTATAAGCGCCGAATGAAGTCGTCTCGAGGCGGGAATGGATGTTGATTGGTTACTCGGCAGGTGGAGTCAGTCTCATTGCCGAGCAAGGCGAGCCTTGGATTTATATCTCCATGAGACTCTATCCATCTCGTGACTTTCTGTTCATGCTGACCAGGGGTTAGGGGTGACTCGATATGCTGAATGCCATCGCAGAGGCGATATGTGATAATTGATGAATGAACATGAATGTCCTTGTTTGTCAGTATGCAACACAGCGAACCATGAGGCGGAGAAACGACCGAAGGAATCAGGGGAGAGAAACTCGATTCCAAGGACCCAATCATCATTCACCTGCCCGCCAAGACAAACGACTTACTAGCGTGGGCGGTTAGAGATGCAGGTTCGCTGTGCTGCAGGCACACAATTCTGAGCTCGCACAACGTCCACTGGACTTCACAGGCCGATTGCTGCATTCTAAGAGGTTGCGTCTATTCTCGAGCTACCCAGTATGGCGGTTCACATGCACCCGCTCAGATGGCATGGCCACCGTAGATCGCATCGCCCATCGGCTTCCTACTTTTCTCTACACCTCGAGTTCATGATATCCTGACGAGAGCCTGGACATTGAGCTGTTCTGCGTTACACATCAAAAGAAACATCCTGCGGCCGTAATTCGACTCCAAAAGAACACCCCGAGTTTGGCTAGAAAGAGACGGACCTCACCTGAATACAACATTTGCACGATATGATACGATAGCATACTCCGACTGGATCGCACATCCAGCCGCGACAGCCTGTCGCTGAGATCGATATAAGCGACTCAGTGTAAGGATACTGGAGCAGCAAAAAAGGCAATCACCAGCAACCGTTACCATCATGGCGGTGCCCAAGAGGAAATCATGGTTAGCTGCACAGCTCACACCACGAAAGCTCCTGTTCTACACGAGCTTCCATGGTCTACACATCCTCATCTTCATCATCGGATGGTGGAAACAGGCGACGGATCAGCGTCTAGCACCATTGAACACGCTGACGTTCAGCGTCTGGTTTTCGCGAGGAGCCGGCCTGTGTCTGTCAGTCGACACCATGATCATTCTCTTTCCCATGTGCCGAAACATCTTGAAGGTGATCAGGCCCAAAATGCGATGGCTGCCACTCGACGAGAGCCAGTGGTTCCATCGCCAAGTCGCATATAGCATGCTACTCTGGACGATTGTACACGTATCGGCACACTATGTCAACTTCTTCAATGTGGAGCGAAGCTTGGTCCGAGCAGAAGCTGCCGTACAGATTCATTATCACCAGGCCGGCGGCATCACGGGGCATATCATGCTGCTCTGCATGTTATTGATCTACACGACTGCGCATGCCAAGATCCGCCAGCAGAGCTACGAGACGTTCTGGTACACGCATCATCTCTTCATCCCATTTCTCTTAGCAATGTATACCCATGCGACAGGATGCTTTGTGCGCGACAGCGTCGAACCTTACTCGCCATTTGCCGGGAAGAAATTCTGGGGCCATTGCATAGGCTACCAAGGCTGGCGCTGGGAACTGGTGGGAGGCGTCGCCTATCTTTGTGAGCGTGTATACCGGGAGTTGAGATCTCGACGCCAAACCGAGATCATCAAAGTCGTGCGCCACCCCTACGATGCCGTGGAGATACAGTTTCGCAAGCCAAGTATGCGCTACAAAGCCGGCCAATGGCTCTTTATCAATATCCCTTCGGTTTCCAAACACCAATGGCATCCCTTCACAATTACATCATGTCCCTTCGATCCATATATCAGTATTCATGTCCGACAAGTGGGCGACTTCACGCGATCACTGGCGAATGCTGTAGGAGCTGGTCCCGAGCAGCAAAAGCTATACGACGAGCTAGATCCATTAGGGATGTACGAAGTGGCACTCACCAACGGACAGGAAATGCCACGTCTGCGTATCGATGGTCCGTACGGAGCACCAGCCGAGGACGTGTTCGAGAACGAAATTGCGATTTTGATAGGCACTGGAATTGGCGTGACACCGTGGGCCTCTATCCTCAAGAGTATCTGGCACATGCGCATCTCGCCCAATCCCCCCAAGCGGCTCCGGAGAGTAGAGTTTATCTGGGTGTGCAAAGACACGACTTCATTCGAGTGGTTCCAGGCTCTTCTGCAATCACTGGAGCAGCAGAGTACTGCCATGTCCGGTGGTGAAGCGGGAGGACAGCAGGAGTTCCTGCGAATACACACCTACCTGACCCAACGCATGGATGCCGATACTGCTCAGAACATCGTATTGAACAGTGTTGGCACCGATAAAGACCCTCTGACGGAACTCTCAAGCCGCACGAATTTTGGCAGGCCCGATTTCAACAGGCTGTTTGTAGCGATGAGGGAGGGCATTTTAAATCAGAAATATATTGCAGGTATTCAGAGTCGCAAAGGGGCTGCTGATGTGGGAGTCTACTTCTGTGGACCGAATGTGGCTGCGAGGAATATCAAAAAGGCTTGCAAACAGGCGACGGTGCCGGGAGTGAAGTTCAAATTTTGGAAAGAACATTTTTGAATACTACCCAGGTAGGTAGTAGAGCTGATGATACCTTACTGTCCATAGCGCCTCGATATTCTCTGGCCATCTTTGATCTTCTACAGAGAGAGAGACAAGATGGAGACATTTCTACTAGCTCTGTTTGCTAGGTACCTTACATGTATATACACATATTGACGCCTACGCGTCGCGTCTTCTACTCACGCGCTACAACCAGTTCCCCCCAAAAGATGTCTGCGAAAAACACCTTCATCACGAACATGGCTCCAGCAGCAGTAGATTCAACAGCAGACGAGAATGAAGAAGCAGACCACCACCAACAACAACAACAACCCTCCTCCCGCCGCCATCCTCACCCAGCACCACCATTCTGGAGTCGAGAAAGCTACTCGGGAGCTCTCCTCTTCAACATCTTCTCCTTCCTACTACCAGCCCTCTACGCGACCCTAAGCAAGCTCTGGATCGCCAACATCGACAGCAGCAGAGTCGTCACGACAGACGTCTACACCTACATTGGAGTGGTAACAGAAGTGCTCAACGAAGGACTCCCTCGCGCCGCCTGGACCATCGTCGGGGATAAATCCAATCGCACCTTGTCAGCTCGGCAAAGTCTTTCTTACACTCTGATTATATTCCAGACGGTTCTCGGAGTCGTTGTTTCTGTTATTTTGACGGGTGCTGCGAGGGGATTCGCTGCTGTGTTTGTCCCTGTTGATGTTAGGGAGGTTTCAATCACATATGTGCGGATTTCTGCCTTTTCGGCCCTGGCTTCGGCGCTGGAGACTGCTGTGGGGGCTGCGACGAGAGCTTTGGATAAACCGGATGTGCCTTTGATGATCAGCTCGACTAAGTTTGCGGTTAATATTGTTCTGGATATGGTGTTGATTTCCAAGTTTCATGTCTCGGGAATTACGCCGACTGTTAACACTCAAGCTGCTACTCAACTCGTATGCAATCTCGTCGCTGCTGTTTTGGGACTGGTGTACTTTGTCTGGTCCAGCATGCGGGAGCTCAAGTCGCCAGTGAGGGCGGCTGAGCTGGAGTCCGCTATGCCGACTTTCAAGGCGTTGGTCACACTCGCTCGGCCTGGGGCATGGACTTTTGCGGAGTCAGCAGTCCGTAATGCCCTCTACCTGTGGCTTGTCAGTGGTATTGTGGCCATGGGCTCCGAGTATGCCACAGCTTGGGGTGTATTCAACACTATTCGTTGGGGTCTAGTCATGGTGCCTGTGCAGGCTCTCGAAGCGACTACTTTGACCTTTGTAGGCCACAATTGGGGCTCCTGGCGTCGTCTGGTCGGCATAAATGAGCGTCGTCCGACTGCGTCACGCCAACAGTTGCGGATGATTGTACATCCCGCTCTACGATCCTGCTTAATCGCTTTGGCTGTTGAGATACCGATGTGTCTGTTCCTCTCCTTCTACGGCGCTCGCCGGTTCGCATGGTATCTTTCGGAATCTGTAGCTGTGTCTCACATCACTGCGAAGATGTGGAAGACGATTGACTGGTGCTACATATGCTACGCTGTTTCAACCCAGCTTGCTGCGATCCTATTGGGGAGCAGGCCACGCTGGTATCTCTATCAGTCATTGGCCAGCAATCTCCTGTGGGTATTACCATGGGCAATAGCTGTGCAGAAGGTCAATCTCAAACCGGAACATGCTTGGACATACCACTCTGTTGTCTTCGGAGGCAGCATGGTTTTCAGTTTGGCAGACATCATTCTTGTGGACGCAGGTTGGGCTTATGCACTGCTAAAGGGCAAAATGATGCTATCAATATTGGACTGAAGGTTGTGATTGAGGACTGCGATCTTGACTTGAGAGGCCGAGGCTGAAGACGCCTTACCTTCGTTACTTACACCAGCGCTGGTGGACGTGGTAACCATAGTCATAGATCGTGCGACCCTGCACGTGGGCGAAGCTGCCGTACACGATATTTGTAGAACGGTCGCAGTCGCAAGGCTGAGAGGCTCAAGCATCCAATGATCTCCAGATGAAGCGATCCGCACGCCGTTATTTGATCTCCTGACAGTCTAGCTGAGCATCGGGCCTTTGGATTCTCCTTGGTTCGTGCGATCGTCTACCACGAAGGCGAGGGCAGGTACTTTAGGTTGGAGACAACCACCTTACTTGCCCTGCTTCTTCGCCTGCTCCTCGATGTGCTTCAGAAGCCCATTACCGCATCGGACCACTTGCTCATAAGCAGTCGTGAAGCCCTCCGATCCACCATAATATGGATCAACAATCTCCTCCCTCTTGCTCTTGCCCCCAAACTCCCCGTAGAGATGAATCTTGTCCAGAGCCTCATCGCTGAGCGTGCCCTTCTTCTTCGCCCTATTGACGAGATCTCGGAGATCGTTGTAATTCTCACTGTCCATTGCGAGCAGGTAGTCGAACTGCTCAAAATCCTCCGGTGCTTTGACCTTGCGAGCGGCGTGTTGGTAATTGTTCAGCCCATTGTCCCGCAACACGCGCATGGTACGGCTATCGGGGCTGTCGCCCGCGTGATACGCGCCAGTACCACATGAGTCGACGTTGCTGATCAGCGGGTGTTGTTCGGGTGTTCCGAAATTTGTGAGGTTGCGAAACACCCCCTCTGCCATTGTCGAACGACAGATGTTTCCAAGGCATACGAAGAGCACGGACACAGGTTTGTCGCTGCTGGGGGAAGCCATGTTGGGAGGGTTGGCCTGTCTTTTCGCGATACCTCTCGCGTGCGAATGGGCACCAATGGAAGCGCGCTGGTGCTGTGGCCTGTAGGCTGTGTCTTTGAATGGAATCAATGGAATCGAATGGATCACATCAGCCCGACTCCCGTGGCATGGTATGGATGCTATTTTAAGTCCAGGGGACTCAAAACTTACCTAGGTAGGTAGCTTGTACGCCACCGTGGCGCGTGGCGCGAAGCTGGAGTCGCCGATGCCCTCATGGCAAGGCATGTATCGCCTAGTACAGTAGCATGCTTACCTTAGGTACATCACATTTCACAATACGAATTGACCCTGACATGGTTCCTCAAAGGGCATTCGTTATAGTCCCCTTTATAACACGAGAGATGTCGAGAAAACACTGTCCACAAGGTACATGTAGATGTATAGAAGTGTGGTGGTAATGGTTACATGTGTGGAGAAAGGCTGCGTAGCGTAGCCGTACCTTATGTTTAGGTACACGCAGCTCCCGTTGCTACCGCTTCAGCAGACCGCGGGGGTGCATAGCATAGCCATGGTGTTGCGCAACAAATTGTACATATCCTGGTGAACCTTCAGCACGACATCAACATTTTTCGACATCTCGCTCTCACGGAATCGTTCGCTGTCCGGGTTCATCATTGTTTCTCAACTTCATCAGGTGGAAGGTAAAACGACTGAGCGATTTGTTGCTGGGACGATCGGCAGACAGCATTGTTGACAGTGGACACCGGCCTCAATTGCGAAACGCTTCCACCTCTGTCAGCCCTTTTCCCGCAGCCTACCCGCACGACGCAATCAATGCTGGCGCAGTCGCTTGCCTGATACGATAGGTACCCCCATCCTCGACCTGAAGCTGGACACGAAACATCACACAGCATCCCTCTCCTCGCGGACGCGCGCATTCGTAACACGCGCAGTTTCGTCGCATTTGCTAGGAGGAGGTAACGCGAAGGAGGAGCCACAGACGACAACATGAGCTACAACCCGCTAGGTATGTCGATTTGAATGAGGATGGACACGCGGGCCAAGAGCTGTGCGCACATAAGAGACGAACAGGCGATGCTGTGAAGGCTGCCCGCATTCCAGAGTGCAGCAGTACGGGGCCTCGAGTGCCAGAGGGCTGGGAGCATCTCCAAACGCCAGACTCATGCGATGCACCAACGTTGCCGTCTGCTGACACTGAAACTTTTTCTCTCTGCTCATACTCATACTGATACTCGTACGCAGGCGGCTACGGCCATTCAGGACAGCCCAGAGACGACCGAAGCCCTAGTCCAAACCACAATCCCTTTATGGATCGCCATCAGTCGCCCGACCCGCGCTATGGACAGCCGCAACACGGGTATCAGCTAGAGGATAGGCCGTATCACGAGCCTCTAGATATTCCTACTGGCCCTGGTCCGTACGGTACAGGTGCACCTTTACCTTCCAGTGACCGTCTCCAGGCTCAACCCACTTACGAAGTGATGAATATGCCAAACACATATGGCCATGGCGAAGCATACGAAGATGCGCATCGACAAGGCTACACGCCGAATCCATACCAGCAAGCAGCTCAGCAGGGTAGAGGAGAATACAACCTGAGCCCACAGTACGAGCACACAGACTACATCCAGGACCCGAACGCATACGACGCCCCACAGCATCAGTACTATCAAGACGACTCAGACGACAGACCTATGTTGCAGCCAGCCACCTCATATGGACCAGACCCGCACCAAGTAGCGCCCATAACACCAGGTGCCGAGCACACAGATCTCGAAGGTGGCTTCAACGATCCCCCACCCATCAAAGCGCCGATTCGACGATGGAAGACGGTGAAGGAGGTTCAGCTGTTTGACGGCAATCTGGTGTTAGACTGTCCTGTCCCACCTCGACTGCTGAACCAGGTTCAGCATGCGCAGCCGCCAGAAAGAGATGAATTCACACACATGCGATACAGCGCAGCCACTTGCGACCCCAGCGAGTTCCTTGAGAGCCGCTTCACCCTGAGACAACGCCTGTTCGCGAAGCCCCGCCACACGGAGCTGTTCATTGTCATTACCATGTACAATGAGGAGGATGAGCTACTGGCGCGAACGCTGATTGGCGTTATCAAGAACATTGAGTACATGAATTCGCGCACGTCCTCCAAGATGTGGGGAGTAGATGCGTGGAAAAAGATCGTCGTGTGCATTGTATCGGACGGTCGCGCGAAGATTAATCCGAGGACACGGGCCGTGCTTGCTGGTATGGGCATATACCAGGATGGCATTGCAAAACAGCAAGTCAACGGCAAGGACGTGACGGCGCATATTTACGAGTACACTACACAGATGACTCTGGAGATCAGGAAGTCAGTGGTGCACGTAAAGAAGGGCAATACGCCAGTGCAGATTCTATTTTGTCTAAAGGAGAAGAACCAGAAGAAGATTAACTCACATAGATGGTTCTTCCAAGCTTTTGGCACAGTTCTCAACCCCAATATATGCGTCCTCATCGATGCAGGGACACGACCTGGACGAAGCAGTGTCTACGATCTCTGGAAAGCTTTTGATCGCGAGCCAATGTGTGCTGGTGCATGTGGTGAGATTAAAGCCATGCTGGAAATGGGCAAGAACCTCATCAATCCTCTCGTCGCTGCGCAGAACTTTGAGTACAAAATGAGCAATATCCTTGATAAGCCGCTCGAGAGTGCTTTTGGATTCATCACTGTGCTTCCCGGTGCTTTCTCGGCATACCGTTTCATTGCTCTACAGAACGACAAGACTGGCAATGGGCCTCTGGAGAAGTACTTTGCGGGCGAGAAGATGCACGGGGCAAACGCGGGCATCTTCACCGCCAACATGTACCTCGCAGAAGACAGAATTTTGTGTTGGGAGCTGGTCAGCAAGAACAACTGCTCCTGGATTCTGCAATATGTCAAGTCGGCCACAGGCGAGACAGATGTGCCTACGGAAATGGCAGACTTCATCCTGCAGAGACGAAGGTGGCTCAACGGGTCATTCTTTGCTGCAGTCTATGCTTTGTCGCACTTTTACCAAATTTGGCGCAGCAATCACTCATTCATGCGGAAGTTCTTTTTCATCATCGAGTTCATATACCAGGCGGTCAACATGCTGTTCGCATGGTTCGCCATTGTAAGTGCGCTGCGTCCGTGAGCTTGCAGCAATGTGCTAACAGACTGCTAGGGCAACTTCTTTCTAGTTTTCCGCATCTTGACTTCCTCGCTCTCTGAGAAAGATCTTCTCGGCACCGCCGGTCTGGTGCTCTCTGTGGTATTCGAGTGGATGTATCTCGCGGTGCTGGTCACCTGTTTCGTACTGGCCCTGGGAAATCGACCCCAAGGAAACAACAGATATTACATGGTACAAGTCTACTTCTGGGCAATCATCATGGCTTATCTGCTGTTCGCATCGGTCTTCATCACTGTCAAATCGATCCAGGCGCAAGTTGCAGAGAACGATGGCTTCGACTTGGCTCTGCTCTTTACAAACAAGCTCTTCTTCACACTCATCATCTCCATGGCGTCGACGTGGGTTCTCTATCTGGTCGCGTCCATACTGTTTTTGGATCCCTGGCACATGGCTACATGCTTCATTCAGTATCTCTTGCTTACGCCGACCTATCTTAACATCCTCAACGTCTACGCTTTCTGCAATACGCACGATATCACGTGGGGTACCAAAGGTGACGATAAGCCCGAGAAGCTGCCCGCAGCGAATTTGAAGCCGGGCGGCAAGGTCGATGTCGCGATACCTACAGATGATGCAGATCTCAACACCCAATACGAAGAGGAATTGCGAACCTTCTCGACCAAATACGAGATACCGAAAAAGGTCGTCACGGCCGAGCAGAAGCATGAAGACTACTACAAGGGGTTCAGATCTGCTGTCGTATTGGCATGGATGTTCTGCAACTTGGCTCTCGCAGCGGTGGTGCTCAACTCGGGAGGAATGGACAAGATCACCATTGGTAAGAGCACGAACAACACAGACACGGAACAAATCGAGGATGAGAGGTCTACGATCTATATGGCGGTTGTGCTATATTCTGTTGCTGCGCTGGCTGCTGTGCGCTTTATTGGCGCGTGCTGGTTCTTGGTGGCGAGGATCTTCCGTGGCGTGTAAGTGCGCGCTCTTTATGATGTGGATGGTGGAGTGGCATGGCGTTCTTTACAACGTGGTGAGATTGTGATACCCTCATGGCAGATATGAGCGTACGTGTTTTTGGTCAAAACCAGACAGATTCATCCGGTGGACAGGCAGATAGGATATTGGATGTCAGAACAATTCTTTGCAAACACCATATCTCAGGTACATGTACGTGTCGTTGCCAACGCAGAGCATGCTGTCCCTTCTGCAATGCGACGGGAGTTGCTTCTGTCACTGCCCAAGTGCCCAACTGACACGCTGGCCTTGCGTCTCAAGAATGCCCAAAGAATGGTGGCGACGAGTCAATAATGTTCCTTAGTGAAGAGCCCAGCGAAAAGTTTGAGGCACCAAATTACGTAGGCACCTCAAGCAAGAGCAAAGACAGGCCCGCGCGGGGGTCGTCGTTGCCTTGGACACCAATCGACGGCTGTTTCCGATTGGCCTCAGACTGGACGATTTTACGACCTTCACCTCTACAAGCTCTTCTCTCCTCCCACTCATACCTACCCACAACATCCCCTTGCGCAACTTGAACACACTCGCGCCTCGAGCAACCTCCCCACACATACCAGCGACCGCGCGCTCTTTGAATCACCCCAAACACGACCCCGCTGCAAACATGGCAGAGGGCACTCCTACCTTCAAGCTCGTGCTTGTTGGTGATGGCGGTACTGGAAAGGTTGGTCCGAACCCAGCAGCGGCAACTCGATCGTCTTGCGATGTGGGCTGCGCGAGAGATGATGGAGCACAGAAAGCTGACAAGATACCATACAGACCACGTTCGTCAAGCGCCACTTGACTGGAGAGTTCGAGAAGAAATACATCGCGACCCTCGGTGTAGAAGTGCACCCACTTGGTTTCACCACCGTAAGCTCGCGCGCCAGAAGGAATCAGAAGGTGGCTACTGACACGGAGACAGAACCTCGGCCAGATCCAATTCGATGTCTGGGACACCGCTGGCCAGGAGAAGTTTGGTGGTCTTCGCGATGGATACTACATCAACGGCCAGTGCGGAATCATCATGTTCGACGTCACATCCCGCATCACCTACAAGAACGTGCCCAACTGGCATCGCGATCTCGTCCGTGTCTGCGAGAACATCCCGATTGTTCTTACCGGAAACAAGGTTGATGTGAAGGAGCGCAAGGTCAAGGCAAAGACCATTACATTCCACCGCAAGAAGAACCTCCAGTACTACGATATCTCCGCCAAGTCCAACTACAACTTTGAGAAGCCTTTCCTGTGGCTCGCCAGGAAGCTTGTCGGCAACCAGGGTTTGGTAAGTAGATGCCGGAATGCGGGACAGCTGACATGTACTGATTGAGTGGCAGGAATTCGTTGCAGCGCCAGCCCTCGCTCCGCCCGAGGTACAGGTCGACCAGGCCGCCATGGAAGCTGCGCAGAAGGAAATGGCCGACGCAGCCAACATGCCACTGCCGGATGAGGAGGACCCAGATTTGTAGAGGGAGAACGAAGATACAACTTACGAAGTCACGGCACGATGAGGCATCAGGTCAGGATGGAGGTTGCACGTTAGCGGGACAGCGCACGCGCGAGACAGCCCGCGCTGGAATAGTACCAAGGTCACACGGACCAGGCGATGGATACGGCTTTGGCGGTTGGTGTGCTTTCTCTTCAACCCCTTCAGCATCTTGCGCCGACAGCATGCCATACGGTGCGCCGTTTTCGTGGCTCTACTTCTAAGAGCGCGAGAACATTTGCAAGAGCGATGGCGTTCACATCATGCTGCACTGCATCATTTAGATAGACGACCCATATTGTAACGAAAAGCACATTGATGCGCTCATGGATGCCTGCGTCTCATTTTTCCCTGCGAACTCATTCTCAGATGAATCGACATGTAATCGATGCCCTTCAGCTCTACCTTGAAGTCAATGCCGTTTCGGAAAAACATGATGCTCCACGGCGATTTCTTCTTTCTTACATACCTGGTACCTGACCTGTGATGCATGAACACGAGGGGGTACATGTACCTATGTGAATTAAGGTGCCTTGATAATTCTACCCAAGTGGGTAGGTAGCCTGACCTCGGCTGTACCATTACAACCACCTACCTGTACCTGGTGAGCTCCAAAACCTCTTTGGGGTTCCCGTCTTCAGTTCATTCGCGCAGAAGATGAATATCAGGTATACCTAGGACTGAGGTAGGACTGAGTATACATTTTATTGTCTCATCTGATATACATGTGCTACGTAGTTTCTTATATATACCTTACCTGATGTAGTTCCTTTTTTTCCTGTCCTGTCGCTGGTTTGATACTTAGGTAGGTACCTGGAGGTGTATTTCTGTTTCTTGAGTTAACTACGTAGGTATATATAGGTGAGGTGAGGTAAGGTAAGGTAGCTGGATTGGTGGGCGGAGTGAGGTACCTTACTTTACTTACTTAGGGATAGGTAGGTCGCACTGGATGGACTTGGGAGTCGTCGTCCTTGGGAGTCGTTTTTTTGGACTTGGGACTCGGTTGTTGAGTTGGAAGTATATAGGTACCTAAGGTGTATATATATCTCATCTGGTTATGACTGTATTAGACTTACTCACTTGTAGTACATGTACCTGCATCCATCGTCGTCATCATCATTATCATCGTCATCATCACCTCCTCGATTTTGTCTCCTCCTATCCGATTCCAAGACTCCTCTTCCCTCACGCCGCTCAAGCAAGAATACCAGAGGTATCACCGACCCCAACATCCGCCTCTAATAATCTCGACCCAATCCCCTCGCTCATGACCCTTATGTGATGAGAGTCCACATCTTCCGCGAATCTATCATCACCAACAACAAGTCTAATCGACCCCGTCGGGGACGAAGGTCTTGTGTAATAAACGGGGGAAGCAGGACGACAGGTACCTGTAGTAGCTTTCGTGAGGGGGCGTGAGAAGCTCACTGGTCGTTCTTTCGTCTGCTCAACGGTGGTGGTGGTGGTGGGTTCCTCCTCTTGTGCGCAGGTCAGACTTCGTAATGCACCGGCGACGGAATGGGGGGATTCGACGAGTAGTGGTGGGGGTGGTTCGGGGAAAATGGAACCTAGTCGGATGTGGGTGTCTTGTATGAGCTGGGATCTATGTGCGAGTTGCTCTTTTCGACTCAAGGATGGGGGTTCAGAGTTGGGACCACGAGTTTTGCTGAGTGAGAGGCTGTGGAATTTGTCGAGTGAGTGGAGTTGCTCTGCGGGCTGTTTTCCGCCTGCTAGATGCTGATGTCGGCTTGGAAGAAGGGTTGTGACCCGGGCACGAGTGGAATCTTGCCGCGAGGCTGGACGGAAGCGGTCTGACCTGGGGGATGGCAATGTGTTGATATCTGGCAGTATGCAGTTGGAAACTGCGTTCGGTTCGGGCGAAAAAGTGGGATCTGACCAGCTGTGGGTTTTGGAATCAGGTTGATATGGTCTTATCACGCGATCGAGTCCGGTATACTTGTGGTGTAAATGGTGGACGATGCGCCGCCGATTGAGATAGAGGGACAGCGCGATCACCAAGGACAGCGAGAACAGGCAGACCGGCAAGGCTATAACTAGATCTAGCAGCCTCGCCTCCTTGGATTCATCGCACTGCTGCATTGTGGCAAACGTTCGCCAGCCAAGTCATGTATAATGCCGAGTGCTTGTAAGAGGAGAGATCCTCTGGTCGATGGGGTTCCAACTAACATCGTGGAGCTATAAGTGGACTGCAACAATTAGAAGCCTGTTGAGAGATTGAAGCATCAGTCGCACGACAAAGTATTGAGTAGGTATGTAGTAGCACCAAAGGAGGAATCTTCGTGCCAAGATATGTCGCCAACCGGGTGAGTGAGTCTAAGGCAGCGTGAGTACAGCCGTGGCACCAAAAGCAGGCCTCTTGAGTGACGCGCAGAACGTATATCGTGGTCTTCACGCCTTGAGCACGAGCTCCGCTTGGTCTTGAATGTGGTGCGACGGATGATGGTGCTGTTATGAGCAGATGGTAGCCTCAGGCTTGCAGGCTATTCAATGTCGATGCAATAACCTCGGGGACATCAGTAGTTGGCACGTCAACCGTGAATCGGGCCCGGTGTCGCGATGGACTGGTTCTCCCTAACGATACTACCGTAGCCTTGGGAGCATACAAGTGAATAACACTGCCTCGATATGTCACCGCAGCCTGGTGAGACGCTGTTGAGATGTACATGTAACCTGCTGAAACCACGACTACGTAGTGGGACCCTGGGGACCCTGAGTAACAGATGTCACGAGGGATGCGTCCAGATCAAGATCGGGCCGAGTTGGGAGACTCTCTTCCTCTCGACATCACATGTGTCTGTAAAGATACCTATGTATGGTACCCGGCCTCATGATAGACAGAGCGCAGGATGAACGAACCGATGGATTGGCGATATGCAACTGACACACCGCCAGAAGATGCCACTCCAGAACCCAGCCCAGTTCGGCCCAGTCCACTTCGCCGCATCGCGTGGCTTGGGTGTCTTATAGACGCCAGTATTGCGCACTCACCTCATCTCTCGTCGCTCAAGCTCATACCATGATACCATCAGACTGCTCGCCTCCGCCACACCTCTGCCCGATCACGCGGTATGCCTATAATAGCAACAGACGGAATGTCTAAGACTTCGCAGCTGTGCCCGTACACTCGGGGGAAACTAGCGGGGTGATGTGATTGTGTGGGCAACAGTTGCATCAGCATCGTGACGAGATCGCCATGTCCATGGACTATGTGCGAACGAACCTCGTGCGCATCTGCTCTGCTCGCAGGCGGGGGCGGAGGCGGACAGGAGACGTGAGACAAGGTACCCGTTCATCCTCCAGGCACATCTCAGAGAGTGCGACTCGGAACAGAACTGCGACTTGGAACAGAATCTGCAACTAGAAACCGAATCTGCGACTTGGAACAGAATCTACAGCGCGAAGAGAGGCAATCTGCGTCACATGTTCTCTCGGTGGTCATCAATCTCGCGTAGCACAATAGTAGGTATGCATACGGCCAGCATTCTGAACTCAGCGCTCACTGATCATACTACATTGATCAATCCTCCTTGCGTCATGCACAGAACAAGTGTTTGGCCGATATGGGAAAGCGTCTTTGTCTCTCTGTCCATTGTCCGACTTTCTGTCGCTTCGGCTTGGCTAGACGGCAATCTCGAACTTTCAACTTTAGGCATTGCCGTGAGCCAACAAAGAGATCTCGACAGATCTTGACCAGGCCATCCGGGCCTAGGCGCCGCAGGCGGTCACTCTTGACGTGGGCCTGTGGATGCACGCCACAGCATCAGATTGTCAAAGGATGGAGAGTCGATACTTATCAGAACCCGGCTGCTGGTACGATGGTGAACGACACCCCATTATACACTCGATATGCGGTGGTTACAGATCTTACCATTCCTCATCGAGGCAGCGTCGGCCTTGACATCAGCGCAGTGGCGGTCGCAGTCCATCTATCAAGTCCTCACAGATCGTTTTGCCTTGACCAATGGATCGACATCGCAACCCTGCGGCGTGGGAAGCTACTGTGGAGGGACATGGCAAGGCATTATCAACAAGCTGGACTACATCAAGGGCATGGGCTTCACAGCAGTGTGGATCTCGCCCGTTGTCAAGAACATTCCGAATTCGCCATATGGCAATCCATATCACGGGTGAGCATATCGCCGCAGTGAAATACGAGAGCCATCGTTGACACCGTTATTATAGGTACTGGGCGCAGGATATCTTTGCCCTGAACTCGAATTTCGGCTCTGCAAGTGATCTCAAGGCGCTCTCGGCTGCGCTGCACGCGCGCGGGATGGTGAGTACCCAGTTGCTGTGAAGCGGCCGCTCATGCTGACCTACCACGCAGTACCTCATGGTCGACGTCGTCGCCAACCATGTCGCTTTCAATGGTCCTCCTAGTGCTGTGGATTATAGCCAATACAGCCCGTTTAATGATAAAAAGTACTATCACCCATATTGCGCGATCGACTACAGCAATACGACCAGTGTTCAGAACTGCTGGATGGGAGATACTGCCGTTCCTTTGCCTGATCTCAGGACGGAGGATGCTGTAGTACAAAAAGGCTTTCAGGGTTGGATCTCGCAGCTTGTGCAGGACTATTCGATTGACGGCCTGCGTCTGGACAGTGCTATGCAGACCACTCCGTCATTCTGGCCTGGCTTCATTTCCGCCTCTGGCGTCTATTCCATCGGCGAAGTTCTTGATGGTAACCCGAACAGTCTGTGCGCCTGGCAAAATTACATGCCTGGTATGCTCAACTATGCGGCGTACTACTGGGTGATTCGCGCCTTTTCTTCCAACACGGCGACCATGACAGAGCTCACCAACAATATTCAATGGCTCAACGCGACCTGCCAAGACACCACCCTGCTGGGCAACTTTCTGGAAAACCACGATCAAGCCCGATTTCCTTCCATGACGACTGATATCGGTCTGACCAAGAATGCAATTGCGTTCACTGTACTCAACGATGGCATTCCGGTCATCTACTACGGGCAAGAGCACGGCTTCTCTGGCGCTGCGGACCCATACAATCGCGAAGCGCTGTGGACTTCCGGTTACACGACGAAATCTACCCTCTACACATTCATTTCTGCACTGAACGCCGCCAGAAACCTTGCTATCAACAAAGACCCCACCTACGCCAGCTCCAAATCGACAGTGTGGTACTCGGACTTGCAGACTCTTGTCACCAGAAAGGGTGCTGTCGGCTCCAGTCTCATCTCAGTATTCACCAACCGGGGAGCTGCCGGCAATGGTAGCTTCACTCTGACAGCAGCCAAGACTGGAATTCAGGCGAACAGCAGATATACAGACTTGCTTACTTGCAATGTCTTCGTTGCAGATGCATCTGGCAATCTTGCCATTACCATTACCAACGGACTGCCGCGTGCTTTGTATCTCAGCACTGGATTGAGGGGCAGCGATGCCTGTGCATATACTAATCCTGGAACGACTATACCCAATCGCAATTCACAAACTACCTCATCCGCTACATCCACCAAACTCAGCTCGAGTGCGACTAGGGCTACGACTACTTCGAGCTCGAGGGCACCATCATCGACGGCGGCAACGTGTGGAGGTCTCACCAACGGGACGACGTACATTGCAGCCAATGGAAAATCGTTCTCGGTCCAATGTGGCATCTCTCAACCGTATGAAGATCTCAGCTCGATCACAGTCACCAGCGATGATGCCGGTTTCAGACAGTGCATTGAAGCATGTGCGGCCAACTCGGCTTGCGTTGATGCTTACCAAATCGGTACTACCTGCTACCTCAAAAAGAACGCGAGCAACAACGTCTCCAATGGAGCCAAATTCATCAGTGCCAGCGCCGCCGCTACCGTAATCTCCAGCTCCCGCTCCACTTCCGCCGCCACCACCCTGGCCACGACGACGGCATCATCGTGCACGATTGCCAGTACCGTCGACGTGAGCTTCTCCGTCAACGTCACAACGCAATGGCTCGAAGGGGTATCTGTAGTCGGCTCGATTGCCGCCTTGGGGACCTGGGCCACAGCTTCGGGATACAATCTGAGTGCCACGACGTACACCTCTACCAACCCGATCTGGAGTGGTGGTCCCGTCAGTCTTGCGGCGGGAACGTCGTTTCAGTATAAATTCATCAAGTACAATTCTACGAGTAATGCTGTGACGTGGGAGTCGGGCTCGAATCGCGATTATACTGTCCCTAGGAGCTGTGCTACGACTGCTTTGGTGAGTGGTGTGTGGCAGGCATAAGTCAGCCCATGGGCGGGAGGGGAGGTTTGAGGAGGGAGGGAGAGGGGGATTTTTTTAGGATTTGTTTTGCGATGACAATGGGAAGGAAGAGGCAGCTACGAGAGAGAACCGGATTTCGATTAATTGTATCTATGTATTATTATTGTTAATATTATTATTACTATTATGATGTATTTGTAGATATTTGTACCTACCTACTTACATGTACCTAATGTTCATATGATAGGAAGTGCTGATGAATGTATACAAGATACCTGGTATACATGTATTTATAAGGTACCTAGGTATATATATCCGTGAAGCATTCAAGGCGCTACATACATACAGTATGCATAGCTATCAGGTATGCAGAGCTATCTTATGTACATATAGGTAAGATAAGGTAAGCTTACCTACCTTACTACCGATCTGATTCTGATCTGATCACGACATACGCCCCCTCCCTCCCTCTAACATACACGTACATGTACTATGTATGGACCTTACCTTGGCCTCGGATTTTCCTTCTGCGAGATATATGGATATATATGTATGGATATGTAAGGCATGTATGTATGTATGTCTCGGTGCTACAACGGGTCTGTTTTCGATTGGAGATAGAGAGGTAGAGAGGTACTGTACCTAGGTTCTTGTTTCTTGTCTCTTGTCTCTTGTCTCAAGTACCTAGTGTTGGAATTGGAATCACGATGATGATGATGATGATGATGATGATGATGATGATGATGATGATGATGATGATGATGATGATGATGATGATGATGTTACCTAGGTACAGACAGGTAATGCTGCAGTGTTTCTGCAGTGTTTCTGTAGTGTTTCTGAATTGTAAGAAACATGTAACAAATGAGGTAGAACTTACATGTACCTACTTAAGGTACCTAGACTTACCTACTTGGTACCTACGGTATAAGGTATTGTACACAAGATCATACATGTATGATGTATGTACGTTTACGGTTAGAAGTCGGTACAGTAGGTAATCAACATCTCTCTTCAAACATGTCTTCCTAGGAGGTAGGTAACACACGGACGACACAGATTCCGAAAAGCTCTCCTTTAGGCTTTTAGCCTTTTTCAGCACATGCAAGAGAAAAGAGCTCCCATGTAGGTAACATGTACCTCCGTAGAGGTAAGATATAGGTAAGATATAGGTAGGTAGAGAGAGGAGCTGAGGAGAAGGAGGAGGGGGAAGTCTTGAACCGGTTCCTTGGGGACGAATCGGTATGCTTGCCAGATACATGTACTTACATGTGTGCAACTTTTGCATGTACATGTTGAACTGTTGCCGTCTTTTCTTTTTTTCGGTATTTGTACAAGGGGTGCATTTTCGATCTCGATTTTCTTTTTCTTTTTCATATTTTTTTTTGTTGGATTACGCGTTCCCAAGCAGCAGTGAGGAATGTACAATACCTTCGGTAGGTATGTAGGAAATGTGACGTTTGCGGCTAAAATGCTTTCTCTCCGAGATAGGGAATATGACCAGATGCGGACATTTGTCAGGTATGGACTATCGACTATCGAGCGGGTGAGATGAGGACATCGTACAGATCGTTTGACGGGCCTGTCGAGGGATGATCCTGGGACAAAGGGGAAGGGGAGGGGACAGGGTCAAGGACAGGGACAGGGACAGGGTAGGACAGGGCAAAGCGGGCGGAGGATGTGAATCATGTGATGATGATGAGATTCATGAGACTCATGGGAGAGAGAGTGCCGTCAACCGTGAGTGAAGATGGCTTTTGGCTTTGGGAGTGACGCATTTGTATAGAAATTTAGAAACGGCTCCCTAACCCTCTCTCTCCTCTCTCCTCTCCTCTCCTTTGCGGGTGACCGTGAATAAGGTTGAAAGGTTGTTGGAGACTTGTAGCGTGCGTGCCTAGTTTGAGGACCTAGTAGTGAGTGAATAGTGTGCCTCCGTAGTGAGGAGGAGATAACATGATCCGACTCGGCGAGATAACACACCGTCCTGTCCTGTCCTGTGCCCGCGGAGAGAGCATGGCATGGACTTGGGAGGCTTCCGGCCAAGCCGCTTGCAGCAGCTCATCGGATCTATTATCATTTTATCTGCATGCCAACAATAATCATCATATACCAACCAACAATGCCTAATCTTCATAACACCAACCAACAGAGTAGACACAAAACTATAATGAACTAAGGTACTCCCTACTCCTGTGACACTCCATCCGCACGGACTGGTATGCCCCCGCCCTCCCATGACATATCTACCAACACACTTGCCGTCACCACAACCAAAAAAATCAATCCACCATCCACAACACCCTCACAGCCTCATCGGATGTACGATTTGGCGGCGGGATGATGCTGCTCGTATCTCTGCAGAATCTGATCCACCACTGTGCATACTCCCTCCCCGTCTGATTGGCCCCACGCACCACTAGACGCTTGCTCGCTCGTGGAGAGGCCTAGGCCCGGCGCCGTCGCCATATCGCATCCTTCGACCGTCGATGAAAATATTATTCTTACATGCTACCACCTTGGAACTACCTCCTACACTCTACTACTGTACCCTCACTCCGCAAGCGACTCCTCCTCCTCCTCCTCCTCCTCCTCCTCTCGCCATCATCAGCCTCCCTCTGCCTGTCCTGTAGCAAAGCTCCATACAGTAGAACAACAAACCACATTCCAATCCCCGTCTTACCCCCGGAACTGTCCGAATTCAGCTGGACCGGGAAAGGGTACCTAGACGGGAGCTGCTACCGACCTACCGATTGCGTGGAAAGAGGGAGCTTAGCCACAGTCTTGACGACTTTCAGCCGTAGCACATGCATATCCAGCCTCAGCCGTTGCGACTCTTCCCACCATGGCCTCGTTCCTACATTCACATCGCAATCCTGCCCGCATCGACGGACATCATAATGCCTCCAAATCGCATGCCACCATATCCTCCTCGCTGCCCAAGCTAACACTGTCCACCAAGAGCTTACGATCGGGCTCGAGTCAACTGCAACGCAATGATACCCTCATCTCTCCACTGTCGCCCGACTCGCCGCGGAGTAGTCGATTGACGCTCGATCGCGACATGTCTCCCAGTCAAAAGGCATCGTCTCCGCTCATCTCCTCCGCCGCCGCCGCTGCGCCCGCAAAATCACACAAGCACCCGACCCTCGAGCATGCCAAGTTACACAAGCGCGGCGGCTCGGGTTCGTTGCCAGGGCCACCCTCTCCCTTTGTGAGTGGCCATCAATTCACGACACCATATGCAACCTACGAATACGAAGAGACGGGCCCGACTCATTTGGCTTCGTCCGCGACCACCAAGATCAAGCCCTATCTGAGGAAGATGGCGAGCGCAAAGGAGGATCAGGGAACGATCGATTTGGATAAGAGCATCGCAGAGAACGAGCGTCTGGCGGGCTTGGGTATTCATCATTTTGCAAGCCGATCTGCAGCGGACGTGACGTTTGGACATCCCAACCGACGACAGACTCATGCGCGAACCACGAGCATTGGCTCCCAGGCATCGAACGGTTCGAGCACGTTCCGAACAGGAGGCCAGCCCTTCATACATCCCGCGACAAAAGTACCGCGACCATATACGCCTCCGGGAGCCAGCTATGCGAGCTCGGTCAATGACGACGAGGCCGACGAAAGCAATGATGTCGTGGAAGATGAATTCCGCCCCGGACCGGGTTTTCGATCGAAGAGGAGCATGTCGATCACGTCCTCGACGAATCCCACTCCTTTGTCGCAATCACATACTGCTAGCGATCTCGGCCTCATACCGAAGCTGACCAACGTCTCGCAATCGAACCTGTCCATCATGTCTCGCGCGTCGAGCACGTCGAACCAGAAAAGCCGGCCACGAAGGGGGACGGACCACTCGGACCTTGCCACATCTCCCCAGACCATGGGTCGACCGAGCATTGACAAAGCACTCAGCCTGGTCTCCGGTCGACGATCCGACCCCGACACGCAATCACGAGATGAAGCCATTCGAAATGCGCGACGCAAGTTTGAAGAGAAGGAAGCCAAGAAAGATAACCGTGAGCAGAAGCGACGGGAGTCGGAGGAGGCCAAGAAGGAAGCAGCGAGACAACGGAAGCAGTCGAATGTCTCGGAGCGAGCTGGCATCAAAACTGCCGCACTTGGGCATACATCTTCTGAGGATAAGATCCCCGGACAGAAGCGAAAGGGTTCCACTGCCACCGTCCTCAGCGGCGCTCCACAGGCCTCCCAGGAGGACACTGAAGTGCCTGGGACTCTCTACGCGCGATCATACGAAGACTATCGTCCTGCCCATGCTGCCACCCTGCCGAGACACGGCGACTTGCCAGGTGAAAGCGAAAAGACGGGTCGGATTCAGTATACCATGACCGCACAAGAGCAGCCTAACGGGAGCTGGATGCGGTTTAGCACCTGGGTGCAAACGCGCCTGTTGAGCTGTGGTCGAGGGCGAAGAAGCTAGACAGACCAGCGATGGCTGAAAACGTACAACGGTTGCATTGACGCATGACGCGCTGCTCTCGGAGCCTCGAATTTGTTTGCAAGCGGTCATTTCTGAGGAATGTGATTTTTGTTTTTTGCTCGAAGACGCTTTCAGCAGCGGCTTTGTTTTGTTGTTTTTCCATGCGCGGATACCTATTGGCAGTTTCACCTGAAAACGGGTGTTGATGACACAGAAACCCTCTTGATGATGATTGAGGAAGACGTTGCTGCGCCTTGCTGCTGTGGCGCTTGGGGTACGTACGTACGTATATACGAAGATATGACCGGGGGGATTTTGCATTTGCATTTGTATATAGGAGGCAGGATAGAAGTGAGAGAGAGTGTGTGTGAGAGAAGAAGAAGAAGAAGAAGAAGAAGAAGAAGAAGAAGAAGAAGAAGAAGAAGAAGAAGAAGAGACAGTTGATCGAATACAACAGAACAGTCCTGATCATCTTCGTCTCCTCTGTTTACCAGTACGTCCTTGTCATGTAGGGTGAAGTAAGGTGAAGTAGCCTTTCGTTTGGAATGACTTGTATTTATGTTCGTATAAATGTTGAAATGAGTCGACTGCCACGACGTCTTCGACGTCTTTATGAGCACGCCAAGCACAATCAGCTGCTTCATTTTATCGTTTTCAACACCTCGGCTGACCTGGACCCCTCGACTACTACATATAATCAACCTTATCTTTACTGTACACAAACATTACCTTTTCAACCCAACCCTTCCAAGCAAAAAAAGAAACACATAACATCTCCCACCATCAAGCACAGAAACCCCAAAACCCAAAAAATAGAAATCCCAAGAAATCCCCCCCCCCCTCCCAAAAAGATGGCGGCCTCCTCCTACCGCAACCTCACCACCCCCAACTTCACCCTCACCCTCCCCGCCCCCTACATCGCCCAGATCGAAGTCAACCGCCCCTCCAAACTCAACGCCTACACGACCGAAATGTTTTTCACTCTCGGAAAAATTTTCCACACATTATCCCGTGATCCGGATGTTCGAGTGATTATCTTGACTGCAAAGGGAGATAAGGCGTTTACGGCCGGGTTGGATGTGAGTGTTGCTGCGAAGGAGGGGCCGTTGAGTTTGGTTTTTGGGGAGGGAGGGAAGGGGGAGGGGATTGATGGGGGGATTGATGGGAAGGGAGGAGAGGAAAAGGATGTGGCGAGAAAGGCGTGGGAGTTGAGGAGGCATATTAAAGAGATTCAGAAACCGGTTAGTGAGATTGAGGGGTGTGAGAAGCCGGTGATTTGTGTGGTGAGTTCTTTTTCTATTTCCCTTTTCTTACTTACTTGACCAACATTCACGAATTCATGAATAATAACATGTTAAAAAAAAATCATAGATGCACGGTATCTCCTACGGCGCCGCAATCGACATTTCCACCTGCTGTGACATCCGCCTCTGTACACGCGACACCATCTTCAGCGTACGCGAAGTCGCCATCGGACTCGCCGCGGATTTGGGCACGCTCTCGCGTCTCCCACAAACAGGGGTTTCGATGAGTTTTATCAAAGATGTGGCTCTGACGGCGCGGGATTGGGATGCGGCAGAGGCGTTGCAGGTCGGGTTTGTGAGTGGAGTGTATGAGGACAAGGGCAAGGCGTTGGAGAGGGCGATGGAGTTGGCGAGGACGATTGCGGAGAAGAGTCCTGTGGCTGTGCAGGGGACGAAGGCGGTGGTGAATTATTCGAGGGATCATTCTATTGAGGATGGTGAGTTTTTGTGCTTTTTCTTTTGCTTCTTTTTTTGTTTGTTGCAAGATGTTGGAGAAGAAGAAAAACACAAGCTTCTCAAGCTTCTTAAGCTAATCATCTTTTTTTTTTGAATAGGTCTCGATTATATTGCAGTTTGGAATGCGGCTATGCTTCAAACTAAAGATGTGAGTGATGCTCTCCTTGCCGGGCTGGGGAAGAAGAAGCGCAAGCCAGTTTTTGCAAAGTTATGAATGTGATGATACAGTATGATGTCGTCTATCTTATCGTCAGGACCATTGTTGTTGGAGATAGAATCAATCACCTACTTTCAACGAGTGACAGAAAACGTCCAAATAATCTTCCATCTCCCAGTAAATGTAAAATCAATCCAATTCACCCCAGATGCTACTTGACCTAGGAGGTACCTGTATGCCTGAGGAGTCATAGGAGCGGTTGGCCTGTTGTACCACAGTACTACATGTGACTCGGTTCCATAGCCTACCAATCAGAGGGCGCAGGAGGATTTTAGTTTCTTTGATTTTCGTGGCGGAGAACCCGATTCTGACACCGCAGCTTCAGCACCTCTCAGCCTCGCAGGACTGTGGAGTAGGTAGCCTGGAGCCATTTTTTGGATGGTTTCTAGGACATGGCAAGGTAATCGGAATAATAACAATACCTTTTCCTCGTCCTGAGGTTGACTTTCTTCTTCCCCTTTCTTCCTCCCTTTTTTTCTTACTTCTCTGCCTTGTCATCAGACGAGGACGTCGAGGCGGCTCTCTCTCTCTCTCTGCGGAACTCCTCCTCCTCCTCCTCCTCCTTTCCCCTTCCCCCCTCTCCCCCACGAGCCAATGGCGCTGCCAACAGACAATTCCTTCGGGGCGATATGTACTTCTACCCCAGCCTACGTCGTCTACCGCGACATCTCAAATGGCGAACCATCCGATCCAACCTCGCCTCTGCTCTTCTTCCCGCCAAAGGGCTCCGATGAGCTGTTTGACGCTCTCCGGACTGCCTTTCCACATCTCAAGTCTCACTCCGAGCGCATGCGTGATGCCATTATTCAATTCCTGCTCGAGGAACGCCAAGAGGAGCTGCTTCGGACTTCCCCAGCGCTGACCATGGACGGTACTGCTCCAACGACAACAACTTGGCTCTCTGCTTCATCATCATCATCAGCCTCTGCATCTGTTTCCAGTAGTCCCGACCTCTTGGACTTCGCCACCCCTTCGTCGTTGGCCACCTCTCCACAGACACTCCCGCCACAGCTTACTCGGACCGCGTCCGTTGCAGCCTCGAGCCAGGCAAGTCCACCCTCACTGGACCAAATGACGGGAGTCTTCAGCTTGTCTGCGGAATCACAGCCCAAGCAGCATATGCGACGGAAGATGACTGAGGCGGAGAAAGTCGAGTACCGCAAGCGCCGAATCGTGAAAGCATGCGACAAGTGCGCCAAGAGAAAGCGAAAGTGCCCTCACAACCAGACGCAAATGGAGATTATCCCAGCTTCTTCATCAAAGGCCGGAGCCCATGTCTCGAGGAGGAGATTATTGCCAAAGTCAAACTTTGACGTCAACAAGAACGGGCAGCAAAACTGCGCTGCAGTCGAGCCTGTCATGGCTGCCGAGGACTGGGACTTCACCGCGGGCTTGGATATGAGTAGTACCTTTCAATCTTTTGATGACTTTCCCATGTTCGAGGACCCTTTTGCAGAGTTCACCGTCGACGACCTCGTGCAGTGGGACCAGCCAGCGACCAACTTCCAGCCACACGACCACCATTTCACGCCAAACCTGGTGCCATGTTCGTGGTCTGGACCATCTAGTGGCAGCAATTCACAATCAGAATCTGGTCTACTACATCTCGCCAACACGGTGCAGCCCGTTCCTGGTGCCACTGGAGACTTGCAACAGCTAGGTCTACATGGAGATTTACCAAGTCACAGCAATGATAGATCTTCCTTGGCTACATCACACCAGCGATCACGCCGCTCGAGCCACAATGGGACTAGAACTCGAAGTGATGTCCGGCCTGAACTGACCCATCTACATGGCTCACTCCAACAAGTCGATCAACAGGATATCGTAGAAGATGGACGGCAAATTGTGTCTGGCGATGGCATGCTATGGAAACACGTACACCCAGGCTCACAGGCCATACCACAGCCAACGCGTACCGCACACGTACACAATGCTGGATGTGGTGAGCTTTCTGCTTCAACAGAAGCAAATGAAGTGCTCAAGCGACCACGTCTGAAAGAGACGCTCGGCCAGAGCACTCTGAAGTTGGTCGGGAAAACCAAAGCTTTACGAACAGGCGCAGGACTTGCCAGGTCCAGTGACTGCAGTTCAGCTTTGCAATCCTCGCCAATCTCTAGACGACGTGCTACCGATGCCCTGAGACACACGACTGAACCTCCACACAGTCCATGCGGTGAATGCACGCGACCTTCAAGTGTACGAGCTTCGGAGCGACGTGAAGGACAGTTCGCGGCCAATGCTGTTGACCAGCAGCATTGGGTGCAGAAATCTACCTCCGTGTCGCAACCGGGCGGACTCCGAATCGGAATCGCGGCTCTACGCAAGGGAAGTTCAGCGCCAGTCATTGCTTCTTCCGCTGCCAAGCAACAGATGAGACTACCCATGACACTTGCTGAAGGTGCTTTGAAGCTCGGCAACATGTCGACAGAACTATACATGCTTCGCCGCCGGATCCCACACAAGCCTGTCACCAGCCAGAATTACCAGCATATAACCAACTCCAAGGCAGGACCTTGTCAGCTCACGACTCATGCCATTGGCGGTGCCAATTTGGGGCTCCCTGTTGCTAGAATCACCGAACGCTGCATGGCCGCACAAGCGCACTTCACCTTCACGCCTGCTCTCGAGAAAGCGAGCGCGAGGGATCACATGCTTTGCCACCGCAAACTCCCTCAGCAGGACAGACTGCACGACTACCACAAGATCCAGGATCACCATAGCAGAAGTCTTGCAATAATGGCGATATTACTCCTCGGACTCATCGCCATGCTCTTCGCAAGCACTCTGCCCATGGCCGCTCTCCCTGCACTCTGGTACTCCTTCTCATCCTTCTTCCCTGATGTGGTTGTTGCAGCTGCAGATGAGAAAGAAGAAGAGCTCGTGCAATGCAGCGAAATCAATAGCTCATGGCTATCTCTTCACGATCTGGAGAGTAGTCCAGCGAGCACGTCTGCGATGTTCTGGTGTCATAATTACCAGCGAGAGGAAATTTTCTCCGCATTCCGCATGAGATCGAGGAAGGCTTTGATGATGATGACGATGATGATATACCCCTTGAGCGGATATTATTCCTCGCTCAGGCGTGGTTTTGTTACTTTGGTGTAATTGAGCGAGAGGAAAAAGAAAATATGGATCCAGATGGAGGAAATGATTTTTTCTTTTTGAGTGTTGGGCGATTTTAGCGGTATTTTTGACTTCACCTACTTACCTACCTACCTGCCTACCTAGGGAAGAGTAGATTTGACTAGGAGCATGTAGTTTCTTGAAAAGAAAGCGAACTTCATATGCTATTGCTTTTCCACGTATCTATCCCAACAGAAACATGCTCTCTTTCTCTCCTTGCTTCGGCTTTGCTAAATTTGATTAAAAGTAAAAGGTCAAATTATATCTCATAAATTTCTATACCCTCTGTACTGTGTGTGTCATGTACTGTGTGTCATGTACTGTGTGTACTGTATGTATGACTCACTACTAAGGTCCATCTTTCCCTCATACATACATACATATATTCCTGCATACATGCATGCACAATGTCCAATCTACACTTCCCACCTCCCCCTACTCCATAAAACTCTTCCTCCAGTCCCGCCCCTCCAAACCCACATAGTGGCACCAATCCCCCAACCAGCTTTGTCAAAATCAACGATTCAACACCACCTTGGCCCCATTCAAACTCGTACACGTCAATGTCAGAAATTCCCTCCAAGGCTCCTCTTCTTGCTTCTCCTCTTTTTCCTCCTCTTGCTCACCATGATGTTGATTTTGATGTTGATGATGTTGATGATTTTGATGATGTTGATGTTGATTTTGTTGATGATGTTGATGATGTTGATGATGAAGAGTATGTAGCAAACCGGGAAATTCTTGACAAATTCGTACAGTGACATAACTTGCTTCTGTGAGAGCGAATTGTTGACCGAGGCAGATTCGGGCTCCGCCGTTGAAGGCTGGGATTCATTAATTAGTGATGGTAGAGAGAGTTGGATTGTTGGTCAATGCCTTCCCCTTTTTTGAGGAAGGGGGGATGGGGGAAGGTGTGGAATTGCTAAAAGGAAAGAAAGGAGAAAAAAAGGAAACTTACGTAAATACTCCCACCCAGGCCTCAACCCCTTCTTCTTCTTCCCCTTCCCCCCTCCCATCTCCCCCATCCCCTCCCCCTCCTC